AATTTTAAGAAATGCTCATTTTTCCAAAATATTAAAAATATGCATTGAAAATTTTTTAATTAATTAAATTGATACTGTGTAAATTTTTTATTAAAATTTATAAATTTAAATGGAATATATGCAAATTTTTTATTAAAATTTATAAATTTAAATAAAATATATGCAATTTTTTTTAATTTATAAATTTAAATGGAATATATGCAAATTTTTTATTAAAATTATAAATTTAAATAATATATGCAATTTTTAATTTATAAATTTAAATGGAATATATGCAATTTTTATTAAAATTTATAAATTTAAATAATATATGCAATTTTTTTTAATTTATAAATTTAAATGGAATATATGCAAATTTTTATTAAAATTTATAAATTTAAATAAAATATATGCAAATTTTTTTTATAATTTATAAATTTAAATGGAATATATGCAAATTTTTTATTAAAATTTTTAAATTTAAATGGAATTTTTATTAAATAATTTTTGCTTAAAATTTCATTTTTTCTTTTGCAAAAACTTTTTTTCGTTTCGTTTTCGTTTATTTCATTTTTCTTTTTTTTTTTTACCTTAGCAAATGTTTGCAAACGGAAATACTTAGGAAAGAGAAAGATGAAAAGTAGGAAGGAGAGAGAGAGAGAGAGAGAGGGACAGAGGGAGGGAGAGAGAGAGAGAGAGGGATTTTTATTGTGAATGATTTCCGGATTCATCTTGGTTATGTTTAAAAGAAATTAGCAAATGTTGCTGTATTATTTGTTGATCCATCAAACTTGAACCTTACAATTTTTTTTCACGTATCCTTTTTTTTTTTTTAGATTTTTAACTTTTTAAATTTTTTAAAAAAAAAGTTTTTTAAAGATTTAGTCTAGTCATTGTTATAAAAGTTTAATTAGCTAAACAAGCATATTTTAAAACAAAATTATTGCATTTTTAAATCTTGCAAAAAAAAAAAAAAAAAAAAAAAGATTTTTAAAATAAATTAAATCATATTTGAATGTGTAAAAATTTTAAAAAAGTGAAAAAAAAAAAGAAGGAAGTAGACATAAATGAAGAATAAAAAATATAAAAATAATAAATAAATTTCAGTTACAAAAAAAATTTGAAATTTATTTAAATTTGATTAAAATTTATTAAAACGGAAATTTCTGTAAAAAATAATGATAACATTTCCTGAAACGGAAAATGAAACGGAAAAATAAATAAAAAGTAAAACTTTTCCTTATCAATAGAAATATATTAGTGATTTAGAAGATTTTATTACTTAAGTTATTCGTCTAGGTAAAAATTAATTTATATTGTAAAATTTGAAGTAAAAGTAATTGATTCTTTAAAGAAATCTCAACTTATGATAAATGATTTGTTTTTTCCTTTTTTTTTTTTGATGAAAAAATAAAAAAAAATAAAATCTTTAAATTACAAAAATGCTTTTAAACGTTAAAAAGTTTGTCAAAAATGCTTTTAAGAAATTCTTTTAATTAATTTAAATATATGAAAATGAAACAGAAAATGAAAATATGAAAGATTTATCGCTAATTTGCCGTTTAAACATTTAAAATACAGAAGAATTCAATTTTGTGATATAAAATTTGAAAAGATTATAAAAATTTTTTCAGTTTAATTATATCATTTCAAACTATTAGAAAAATAAAATATATCTGAAAGGATTTTTTTTTTTTTTGTAAGATTAAAAACAGCGTTTAAATTTTATTAAAGTAAAAAAACAATATATAATGCAGCGTATTATTGTAGTATTACTTTGAATTTGTTTTTTTTTTTTAATTAAATTAAAATAAATTCACACTTTGAAATTTGTTCCTTTTAATTAAAAAAATTTATCAACGATTAAATGCATTAAAACATTTTTTATTAAATAAAAGTATTTAATTTAATCCATAATATTTATTTCAGTTAGAGAATTTCATCATTAATTATTAAATTAATAACAAATATTTGATTACTAAATATAAATTCCTGTATTATAATTATTTAAGTAATCTTTTTTTTTTTAAACTATAAAAAAAATAATACTAGGTGTTGCAGCTTGTTTAGTTTCTCAGAATTATTTTATAAAAAAAAAATTATCATTTAAATAAAAATGATAGGAATATAAAAACTGATAGGATAAGAAAATTTGCAAAAGATATTTAAAAAATCGAAAAAAAAAAGTCAAAAAAATTAACTTTGCATTAAATAATTTATGATTTAATTATTTAATAATTTAATTATTTCTTTCTCTAACATTTATTAATAATAGTTTAAATTGAGTATTAGTAAAATCTTTTTTATAAAACAATTATTTTTGGAGCAAATTTTAACGCTAATCAATGATGCATTTTAATTTCAAATGTAATTTTGTTTATTTAAATTATTTAATTGTTTATTTCAAATTTTAATATCATTTTAATACCTTTCGCAACAATTTAATTTCTATTATAATTAATCATTTAATAAACGAATAAGATTTTATTTTCAAACAGTTGTCAGACTGTAGTTAAAAACAAAACTTTGTGGTGGTAGACAAGAACAGTTGGTTAGAAATTGTCACAGTGATTGAAATCAGAAAAGAAAAAATGTTTAAGCATAACAGAAATAAGTGATAAGTGATAAGTGATAAGAAATGGTTTAAATGCTTTAAAGTAGAAAAAATAAAAAAAAAAAAAAAGGAAAAAAAGAAAAAACGAAATTCAATTTATAGCTTGTACTATTTGAAATTAAAAAGCTAAATATTTGCTTTGCTAATAATTTCTAACAAGCAGTAAGTGAAATTAAAAAAACGAAAAGATATTGTATTTTAGAATTGACTTTTTTGGATTTATTTTAAAATTCATAAAAATCAATTATAAGATAGAAAGATTAATTAATTAATTAAAATGAAAAAAAAGAAAAAGAAATGGAAGGTATTAAGAAAAAAAAAAAAAAAAAACAGAAATTTAGTTTTTTTTTAAAAAATAAAAAAAAAGTATTTTTTTTTCTTGCTTTGTAAAAATTGAAAGATAAAATTAATCATTTAAAAGAAATTTAAAATTAATGAAAAAAAAAAAAAAAATGAAATTAATTGTTGATCCGTTACACAATGAAAATGAAATGAAACAAAAATATTTGACTGAACAGCAATACTTATTTTTTTGTTTAGATTTTTGAACATACAAAAACTTTTAATATTATTGCAAAAAAAAAAAAAACTGAATATTTATTTATTTATTTTTTTGTTTATCAATAAAACATTAATAAACCAATAATAATAATAAATAAATAATATAAAACAATAATAAAAAAAAAAGTAAATAAAATTAATTAACAAAGATGAGAAAGGTTATATTTATAATTTGAAAACAATGTTGAAACATAGAAAAATTATTTATCACAAAAAAAAAAAAAAAAAAAAAATTGAAATAAAAAAATGAATTTGATACAATCTAATACAACAAATCTACTTAGATAAATAAATGTAAATAAAAAAAAAACTTTCTGTTCTTTTTTTTTTTTTGTTTATTTTTTGACTCATAATGTATCTTAAAATTTTTGAAATTAATTATTGTAAATATAATTTCAAAAAATGGAAAATTTCTTATATTTCTATATTAAAATTTGTTATAATTACCTAAAATACTAATATTGAAATAATTTAAAAATTTTTAATTATTGAATGAAATAAAACAAAATTACTGGAAATTGCTATCCATGTAAAATTGAAAAATTAACTGAAATATACAAAATTTTTAAAAGTTAATTTATTTCGAATCGATTAGTGCAACATTTTTAATTAAACAAAAACATTACATATATAATACTTTCTACCTTTGAATATATCATTTTCTAAAAAACTTTATTTCATTTCAAATTTTATAAATTCAAATTTAAAAATTTTAAATATTACATTTACATATTATATGTAATAGAAAATAAATGAAAATTTCATCAAATTCTTCGCAAAAAATGTGATAATAATAATTTTGTTAAGAATTTTTTTTTTAAATTGTTTACCAACTTTTCTTTTGACAACAATAAACAATCAGGAAAGCATTTTCATAATGGATCCATTCAATTTAACATTTGATAATTATCATTTATCAACCGGATAACTGTTGCTGTAGTATTATCGGAATTATACCGATTTGTACCGGAGTTATATCAATTTATATCAAGAGAAGTCAGACAGAATTTGATACTGATTGATTAATGCTTAGATAAAGTTTGTTAAAGATTGATAAAATAAGAGAGATAGAATGGAAAAGAGAGAGAGCGAGGAAGTTTGAGAATGGAGAGAGGATGAAATAGTATAAGGTAGTTGGAGAGTGCAGAGATAACTAATGCTCATTAGAGATTTTGCAGAATTTCGGCGTATTTGGTGTGGGACTTTTTTTTTTTGTGAGAATGAAGGAATGTTGAGAGGATTGAGAAGTGTAATTGAAACGTTAACTTGACGTACGCATAAGTTAGAGAGCCAGAAGAGAGAGAGAGAAAAGAAAGAGTAACGTTTAATATTGAAATTCATACGTTAACTTGACGTACGCGTAAATTAGAGAGGCAGAAGAGAGAGAGAGAAAAGAAAGAGTAACGTTTAATATTGAAATTCATACGTTAACTTGACGTACGCGTAAATTAGAGAGGCGGAAGAGAGAAAGAGAGAGTAACGTTTAATATTGAAATTCATACGTTAACTTGACGTACGCGTAAATTAGAGAGGCGGAAGAGAGAAAGAGAGAGTAACGTTTAATATTGAAATTGATACGTTAACTTGACGTACGCGTAAATTAGAGAGGCAGAAGAGAGAAAGAGAGAGTAACGTTTAATATTGAAATTGATACGTTAACTTGACGTACGCATACGTTTAATATTGAAATTTTTCCTCAAAATTAAAGACGTGTACTCTTGAAATTCTTTTTTCTTTAAAGTTTGTATATTATGTAATATAATTTGATTTTAGTTTTATTTCTTCCAGATAATACTCAATGCAATGATGGTGGCTACGAATTAAACATTTTGTAGAAATTAGAAATATGTCAAACGATATTAAAAGTTTAGATGGGTTAGTAGACTACTTCGTTTATTTTATTTTTTCTGTCGTTTACTACTTATGCATAACTTCTCATAATTATAATTTTATTTCTGCATAACACAATGTATTCTTTATTTTTTAAATCTATATTTGACCTAGACCTATTGAATGAATCAAATAATTCTTGTATAATATTAATTTAAGACTTTTTTTCAAATGGTGTATTGAATGTATAACCTATTAAATTCTTTGTTTTATGAATTTTTCTCTCTCAGTCAGCTGATTGAATTTTTTGAGTTCCTTTAACGTTCAATTTAAAGCATATTGTCTGTGAGTTATCTTTGTCTTCTATCATATATAGAATTGTAGCTAGAATAGATGCGAACTTAAGTATGATCTATATATTCTGGTAATTATTAAACTTAATTATATTTATTACTGTGAGAAATTATGAAAAATATACAAATTCATTTATGAAATTTCAGCTACTTTCATCAGTGTTACCGACCGGATTATAGTTTAGCCATATTGAAGCACAATTGTCGCATCAGTATTTTCGGTGTATTTGATATTCAGGTAATTGGTGTTATTTATTTGAAGTTCATCTGTTTGAATAAAGAGCCTAAGGATAAATTCTTGAAATGAGTTAGAGCAGAATGGAGTAAATGGACAAGAGCAATGAAATTAAACGTGAAAAGAAAAGAAATAATGGAATAATAATATTATTATTATTTATTGAACTTTTTCTTTTAAGATACTCTTTGGTAAAGTAGTATCACGTGGTTATGAGTTTGAACCTGGTGCTTATGCAGAAGAACGGTTTATCAAAATTGCAGCACCGTATTCGATTGGTCCTCCAGCGCAATTTGTTTCATTTCAAGATAATCTTTTCAATCTGCATCGTGTGAAATGGCGACTGAAAGAGGTCTTTTATTTCAAAAAAATTTTTTTTTTTTTTGATGTGAAATATTATACCTATCAAGTTAGATACAAAAAGACGAAGAAATTCATACTCTCAGGAAAACTTAAAATGCATGTGCATTTTTTTTTTTTTATATTTAAAATGCTTTGTATTCCTGCTATTTTTTAATGTTTGATTTTATCCAACTTATTCAGCTAACAAATGCAGTGGATTCGATATTGAAAGAATTCGAAAATGGTGATAGTGTGCTGCTTTTTCGGTTTAATTTTTCAAAGATTTGTGCTTGTCTTCGTGAACTTCATGGTCAGGTATGAAAGTGGAAAACATTTCTATTATTTATAGAATTTCAGAAGTTTTTCTTTCATCGCATCAATCTACCATTCCTATTCTTTGCTAAAATTTACCTTTTTTTTTTTTTTTTTGCCACAAATCATTTTGTATTTTTGCTGTATCACTCTTTGTGCTGGATGTAGAAGGACATCTGTTAGATTTTAATTATATTTAGCGTATACATGATTTTTCTTTGCACTATACTATCAGATAATGTGGCCATACATACGAGTTACTTTAAAGAATTTTCGTTTTTCAGATTTTTTTCCTGCCATCGAACTACAATGAATGTTATTCAGTGGGACCGCTATGTAGTGCACTTCAAATAAGATATCCACCTCTTTATAGTGGTAGAACTGCTGAAAGCATTTCTCAATTGATGGAACAAATCTTAAATGAATCGCGTAAGTTTTAATTATTGTGCAGCTAGAAGGATTAAGCTAACGTATATATCAAAATGAGCACTTTTTATAGTATCTTTGTTATCACTTTACACTAATCGAAACTTTTCGACTAGATCAATTTCTTAATAAGCGTTAGAGATGCAAGTTAGAAACATGAATTTATGATAATTGGTTGTTAATTCAAACGAAAATTATATGAATAATTTTTACTATGACTAAATAAATCAAGATGATTCATTTTTCAGAAAAAGGAAAAAGAAATATAACAATGGTTATAGGAAATAAAAACACAGGAAAATCGATGCTTACTCGAGTATTAGCTAATTCAGTTCTTGGAAAGTAATTCTATCTCCTCGTCTATTTATCTTTTTCTAATAAATATTTAATAGCAATTCACTCTAATGAGGAAAATGACTCGTGAAAATTTCCATTGAAATTAGAAAGAAAAAAAATTTTTTTTTTGAAAAATTTTATTTTACTCTTAGCGAAATTGGTTATTTTCTTTTCTTTTTTTCTCATTTTTCAGCTTTTAAAAATTTTTTGTTTTTGAGGCAATATTTTAGTTCAATACTGACTAATAATAAATAGCAGTTATTTTCTGATCTACTTGTTTTTCAGATGTTTCAAATTTCTTGGCTGTATTTTTCTGCATTATCTTTATCCTAGGGTTTATTACAATTGTCTGTCTCGAATTTTATTACTTTAGGGGACGATCGCCTCCGTATATTCTGGACTGTGATGTTGGACAACCAGAAATGAATCCACCAGGAAGTATTTCATTATTAAAGGTCACCTCACCACTTTTAGGTTACTTTTTGTGTCTGTGGTTATTTCGTAGTAAATCTCAATTCTCTCTTCTTTTGTATCTATCACCAATCATTCAGGAAAAATAAACTAATTTTTAAAAGTTTCAGGTGCTCCACCATTTCAACAACGAATCCTTCTGTCTGATACTTATTTTTACGGAAAGATTTGTGTAAACGATGATTCAAGTTCATATTTGGTGATTCTTCGGAAATTGTTGGATTGTTTTTTGAATGATAGCCTTTCATCATCTCCGCTTTTCATTAATACTTGTGGATGGGTTGAAGGTATTGATATTAATGACTACTTTTCAATTTTGTCGAAATAAAAATTATTTCGACTGAGAAATACAAAAAGATAAGTTCTGGATTTAGCTGTCACCGAGCAATTAAATTACAGGGAAAGGTGCTTCACTTTTGGATGAAATGTTAGAATTGTTTGATCCCGATTTTGTGTTCACGTTCGTTGATTCAACAGGATCCAATTACATGGTATGAATACATCGATAAAAGTTAAGGTTGTGAGATTGCATTGAAAAGTTTTCCGTTTCTCAAAATTTACCATGTTTTATTGGTCAATGATCTATTTCTTGGCAACAAAACATCTATTATGATGCTTTGCCTTTTCTGCATTATTTTATTTATTTTCATTTTTCTTTCAGGTAAAGCAATCTGTTATGAATGGAAATGCAAAACCACTTGTATTTTATGGCGATGCTATAGAAAAACCCATGTAAGTTTTTGTGGAAATGGAATTTAGAAGAAAATTAGTTTTACTCCATTTTGAAATAAGAATTAAGTTGATTTTCCCTTGTAACATATTTATTTTAGCTGCAAAAAGAAACTACTTCGAACATTTTTAAAAATTTTTTTATAGAATAAATTGTTGTTTTATCTTTTCATCTTTAGTATTCATTATTCTTATTCTTATCCTTATTTTTGTGGAGAAAGTGTACAAAGTAGAAACTGAATGATTTATAAGTGCTAATTTAAATTTTTTGAGTCAAACTGAGTGAATTATATCACCAGTAAAACTAATTCAGTTTCGGAATAATGTTATTAATAATAGTATTAATAAATAATAAATAGTAATAATAATAATAATAATAATAATAAATAAAGATAAGAATAAGAAATAGAATAACAAACAATAATAATAATACTTTGAAATGTCGTATGATATAACGTTTTAATGATTGAGGAATTTTCGGATTAGTGAAATTTGTAAGTACTTTCATGTTCAGGCATATGATCTACTCTTCTTCTGTTTTACGAAGTCTTCGAATAACAGCATATATGGCAGAATTATGTCCTATTCCAACGTTGAAATCGTTTGCCGATGCAGCTCCTTCCGCGATATTATTCCGCGATGTAGCAGTACTGATACATACAAACGAACCATTCCCTTCAAATCATATATTTGCCGTTTTGAATTGTACTTTTGTCGCTCTTTGTGTCCATAATTCTATTAATCATTCGGAAGAGGTTTTTTTTTTTTTCTCTTTTTTCTTTAGTTATAATAGTTTTGTATTTACACCCTTTTGCTAGACGAAGAACTTTATAATTTCAGAAAGAATTCAATGCAATTATTTTCAGTAAGACCAAGTTTTTTTTTTTTTTTTAACTTGAATGCAGTTTTAGGAGTTATCAAATTTATACAAGCTGTAAGATTAAGGGTGATTGTAGGCTAAGTGAAAATGAAAGTTTTTTTTCTTTATTACATTAATAATTTATGATTTTCTGGTACGACGAGAAAGAAAAATAACGATTCTTTCTGTGGTTATCTTTCTTCTGAAATCATTTGTTAAGATGGAAATATTCATGTAAATTAGGGATATAAAATTGATAAGATCTTCTTGATTATATTATGATCGTGTTTACTTTTTTTCTTCTAATTCTTCCTTGTTTGATTTGAAATAAACAAGACATTTTTAAGCATCAGCTTTAAATGAAAATGTGATTTTTATTTCTGTTTCGAATTGTTTTAATAATATGCTTATTTTAAAGGATAAAAGATTGTTCGATGATCAAGATATGCCGATTTTGTTAAATCCAGATAAGATAGATGCATTACGCGTCGTTGGTTATGGATTTATCAGGGCAATTGATCTGGAGGAGCGCATGTTTTTCATTTCAACACCTCTTGAATTTTCAGATCTTCAAGAAGTTAATGTCTTAGCTCGTGGTTTAAATATTGATCTTCCACAGCATTTTCTTATTTCACAGGTTTCCATTTATTTATTTATTTACTTTTTTTATTGTTTTTTTTTTTTTAATTTATTTAATGTATTATAATGATGAATCATTTGTTTATTTTCCAGTCTTATTATTAGATAATTTAGTTGAAGATGTGTAATATTCCTTTCCAAGCTCAAAAAATTTTTCATTACTTCGACACACTAATATTTGAATGATTTTACAGGGTAGATCTGCGATACCATATGTTGTTCGAGAACGTTCTTCTTCGTTCCACACCGAATTATTCAAGGAGTTAAAGATAAAATCAGCCTTCCACAGAAAAAGATTTTTGAGGATGCAATCTCAGTTTATGGTGAAGAAACCGATGTACAGACCTGTGCATCGTTTAGTCAATGTCTAATTATTTTATAAAACCTAATATCAAAACTGTCACGAAAAGAAATAACGAAAACTACATCTTGAATTACCAAATCTTAAAGGAAAACTACTTCTTTCATTATTTGGCTCTCATCATGTGTCTTCACTTTTAAAATCATTCTGATCAAATACAGAAAAGCATTGATCGTATATAATTGTTGAATGTTTTTTTTTTTTTTTTCGATTTTCATTCTTTTGTATTCATTAGATGTTGCATGTTTAGTATTAAATGTTATAATTTCATAATTTGAATTTTAAATTTTTATAAAATGCATTCTTGAAGCGTTTCAAAAATCATGAAAAGTTTGACATGTTCAATGTTTGGTCACTTTAAATGTCATGAATAATCTGAAATGTATGGTAGGTACAATTTGCCAAACTAATGAAAATAATTTTTTTTCTTTTTTACAAACGTTCATTTCCTTTCAATCCCCTTTGCTATCGATCATCGCTTTTAATGTTTCAAGGTAATTGGTCAGTTTTTTGAACATTTCCGTGATTTGTTCATTTTTTGGACAATATGGACTGTAAAATATGTCTGTTCTGATCTGAGCATTTTAGCATTCAAAGAAGTGTGATGTTAGTGATAATTAGCCATAGATTCTGCAACATAGTTCTATTTGATATTTTAAAGTAAAAAAAAAAAGTTTAAATTTAATCGAAATGTCCAAAATTATGAAACTTCCTACATTAACAATATAGATTTTGCATAAATTATAAAAAATAAATAAATGCATAAATTTTATACAAAAATTACAAAAAGCATATATTAACTTGAATTCATCAATCTGATAAATTGAAAATTGAAATTTTTGTTTAATTGAACAGTTCTAAATTTAATAATTTTCTGAAATTCTTAATAAACTTTGTAGCGGTATGATTGCACTACTATCGATTGGTAGATACTATAGATATTTAGTCATCAAATAATTATGCATATCAGTTTGATAAGTAGAACGATTGCTGAACGGCATTAAACCATATCTGTATGATGAAGAAAATGTGATGAATGTCATAGGGAAGTGTTTTTTTTTTTTTTTAATTTTAACTTTAAAAAAAAAAATCTTATGCACTTTTTTATTTGTTGATACCTTTTACTTTTTTCATTGGTCTTTTTTTTTTTTTTTTTTTTTTTAAAGAGTTTTAATAGCAACCAAAAGAAATTTTTGCGAAAAGAAATTTCGGAACTTCTAGGTGAAGTTATCAGTTTTCATTCTTCGAACTAAACATACACACTACCTTATATTTTAATCCAGTTTAAAATAATAAAATCTTGGACGACTTTGGAAAAAAAAGACTGATCGTAAATGAGTGACAAAATTTTTGGGATATGTGAAAAAAAAAAAAAAAAAAAAGATTATACAAACATAATTACTACCTTTGGGTAGTTTTTATAAACATGAATCAAAATATGTAATTGTCAAATTTGAAGAGTTGTATAGCTCAGATGTTGTTTGTGTTTGAGTAGATGAAGAAGATAAGTTCGAAATTATGTCGCAAATATCACAAAGATAGTCATCATTAAAAATAAATTGCAGTATGCAATCTTTTGAGTTTAATCAAAATTAAAAGCTCAATGTTTAAACTCTTCCTATGAAAAAAAAAAATCATCGTATCATAGCAAATGATAATAAATCCCAATAATAATAGTGATAGTGATAATGACATATATGAATTTTTTTTTTTTTTTTTTTAATCAAATTTAAATTTTTCATCTGAATAGTAGAATTATTGACACAAAAATCGTTAATTGATTCAGTATTAGCTATTATTTAACAAAATTTTACATGCTTTGTTGTAAAAATTATAGTAATGCGCTTGTTTTTCAATTTTTTCGAAAACAACAGAATCAATTTTATTCGTTCAATCATTAAATTCATTAATGGATATTTAGATTTTGCATTGTTTCAATGATCCTTTGCAAATTTTAAATCAAACGAAAGTTTATAATGTACTAGTGTTAGTAATACTCGATGATTTCTCTGTTTTGATTAATTATTTCGAATTACTTATCACAATATGCAATAATTTCTGCATGTAATGCAAACAACTTTTATTGTAATTATACGCAAATGTTCCATTAGTAATTTCAAAAATGAATATGTGAATTGTTAAATATGAAGCAGTAATTTAAAAAAAGATTATTTTTTTTTTTTGGAAGCTCTATGAGAAATTATAATGATTTGAGATTAAAATAAGCATCTACTGAAAGAAAGTTCAACTGAAATGTTAATTGCAAAAATACCTCAGTAAGAAATTTTTAGATGCTTTTAATTTATTTTAATAAAGAGATGCAGTTTTATGCATGAATAGTAAAATTAACCTCTTTTTGCTGTTATGTTTTTTGATTTTATTAATTTAAGTTTGACATTAATTATATAATAATCATTTCTTAATAGCTTTCAAAAATTGTTATATTTATTGTATTCATATAGATTTGGATTTCAGAAAGAATTAGAAAATAATTATAAAATCAATACTATTAACAGTGTAGAGAGCGGATTCTTTTATCATGATAGGCATGATATCATTTACTTTGACATACTTGACAAATGTTTTATCAAAGCAATTAACGTAAATAGTATTAACATATTAACTTCATTATTTACATATTTAGTTTAATTATTTTATTGTCTCAATTAATTTCGTTTTTCTTTTTTACACTTCTTTCAAGCAATTTTCCTCATATTTTGCATATCTTAGTTTTAGCTATATCAGGCAGCATTATCTAATATCAAATATATTGATAATTGCTTGATGAGGTCACTAATAATGATAGTGCTGTTAAATTGATGATAAAAATGATAATAATGAGGAAGGATGTTAACAATCAATTTAACGATAATTAAAAAAAACATACTCGAAATATTAATCTGCTGTATGGAAGATTATGATAGCCAGGTTCTTCGCTCTTTCAGTGATGCTGTAGCTGATGATGTATGACAAAAGAAATTGCTAAATCATTCATATTTCTGAAATCTCTTATGAGTTATATTCCTCTTTTGTTCAATAATATACATGGAATCCTCTACAATTTCCGAAATTGTTTCCAGAATATGTCTTCCTGGCTATTTTCTTTATAATGTTGTTAATTCCTTTCTCCTTCACACTGAATCTTTCTGCCTTGAATCATATTACAAGTTTTTTCTTTTTTTGTTTAAATTAAAATTAATAAATTCTTAGCATAAAATGAGATGAAACTCTTTGGCATAGCATATAACTCGTACCTGTTCAACAAATTTCAACCGACTGAATTAAACACTATTATCGGATTACAAGTGATTAATTTCAAAATTAATCTCAATTAACTTGCTAGATAAAGCTACAAAATCAAAATCAACGAACACAACATATAATTTTTGATCGTAGATGGAAAAACCGAAGTCAGTTCAAACATATTCTTTTAGTACATTCTTTTAAATTTTAGAAGAGAGATAAAGACAGAGATCGGGAGAATCAAATTCTTTTAGAAGCTTTAATATGTCCTTGCAACAATACTTTTTACAAAGCAAGAATAAACATGTCTTTGCTTTAGTTACCAGTTAGAAACCACTTACAAACCACTTACAAACCAACTACAAACCACCTACAAACCACTTACAAATCAATTACAAACCACTTAGGAGCCAATTACAAACCACTTACAAACCAATTACAAACCACTTACAAACCACTTACAAACCAATTACAAACCACTTACAAACCACTTACAAACCAATTACAAACCACTTACAAACCAATCACAAACCACTTACAAACCAACTACAAACCACTTACAAACCAATTACAAACCACTTACGAACCAATTACAAACCAATTCCAAACCACTTACAAACCAATTACAAACCACTTACAAACCAATTACAAACCACCTACAAACCAATTACAAACCACTTATAAACCAATTCCAAACCAATTACAAACCACTTACAAACCAATTACAAACCACTTAGGAACCAATTACAAACCACTTACAAACCAATTACAAACCACTTACAAACCAATTACAAACCACTTACAAACCAATTACAAATCACTTACAAACCAATTACAAACCACTTACAAACCAATTACAAACCACTTACAAACCAATTACAAACCACTTACGAACCAATTACAAACCAATTCCAAACCACTTACAAAAAAAGAAAAAGTTGAAAAAAAAACCGCAACCCAAAGCAATTTTCGTTATTTTTTTTTGGATAAATTTTTGGCTAGAAATTTCTGGAAAATATTTGCATTGCACTGAGAATGACTCAATAAATAGTGCTTTCGCTTTCGCTATTGTGATAAATTCACTGCAACCAGATTGATGAATAGATCATTTACTACATTATGTTTGCAACAAAAAAAAGTTGATTAGAACAGAGTTAAATAGTACATTAAATTTGCTAAAGTGATGGGTTAAATAAACGGCATCCACAGCAAAATGTTTTAAATTGCAATTAAAGGCAAGCGAAGAAAACACATAGTTGGATATTTATATAAAACATATTTTGTCATTTCTTCGCTATTTATTGTTTTTAATTTTTGAAGACTAAGAATTGTGCAGATTTATAGCGCAGATCAAGTAGTTGAAGTAATGACATGGTCATAGATCGCAAAACGATAACTTCTGGCTCGGCATTTCATAGTAATATTGACTGTTCTTATTTTTTTTTTTTTTTTATTGAACAGTTTCATTAATATTTGAAATTCATTTTTTAATACATTGCTTCATTTATAAAAAGTGTTTTTTAGATTTTGATAAGAAATACTGATCTAAGATGCCGATTAACTAATTAAATAATAGGACAATCGCATTACTTTACCAATTTCACTAGAGCAAAAAAATGAGTAAGAGTGCTATATCAGTAAGATACAGCAATTCAAAAACAAACCTGATGATCCGCTTGATCTACAAGAACATATTTTTTAATGTAAGGTTTTAGATATGATCCAAAAATTACGGATACAAAATCACTGAAGTAGTTGCATTATTTCTAGAAACCAGAAAGCTGTTCAATAGTGCATCTAAATGAGAGACATATAATGTTGTTTTATTATCTACAAGATAACAAAACTTTCTGTTTTAAAAGATCATCTGAATGATAATTATAAGAAACATGGATTTACATTGATCGCAAGTAATTATTGCCACGGATTTTAATATCGCAAAACTTTAAAATTCTGTATGAGAGTTGAAAATATGAGTAAGAAATATGGTCTATGAAATCTTGCAAATAATGCTTATAACTCTTTGTTTCCAATCTTACATTTAGTCTGCAAATCTTTCATATATTGTTTACGCGGTATCAGTTCCTCAATTAGTTGACCTCATTGCTGTATCATCAATTATCCTTTGAATCTGTGAGGTTAGCAGTTTTTGCTTAACTGATATCCTTTGCGGCTTATGAACTAGTAAATAGATTTGCACGTAAATCAGGTCAACCTCATATTGTAAATCATATAATTTGTTTACGCATATTGCATTCTGATACTTGTTGAAGGTGCATTGTGTGTTTTTTACCAAGAACCATGGCAGTTAAATTTCATTTGTTCTCTATCAAGTTATTGTACTATTGCCTCTGTTAATAAAGGAATTCTTATATTCCTCTGTTACCCCACATATTCACATCTACATCCAACGAATCTTCCTGCGATCAACAACCTCTCCCAAAATAATAAATTAAATTATCAATTCTTCCACGACAGCTTTATTATGATTGCAATCTTATCGTATATTGAAGTCGAATTCAATCAGATGATTATCATTTTCCACTTATAGCCAGAATAAACTATTTGGCTAGAAAGGATTTGATAAAAATCAAATAAATGTTTGCCAAGTGTTTGTTCATTCTATCTCAAAAATTCAATCTTTAAATTCCAAGTCTTTATTAATTAACTGATTTTTGTTATGAACATCAATGATAACAAATGTGACAAATGATAAGACGCGGTCTGGTAATCACTTAATTATCGCGCGTTTTTATCGCTACTATTCGTAATTTAGCACTTTTTATGCTGATATTATTCGCTGAGGTATACTGTATCGATACCGTATATCCAAATGATAATACATACAGTATCAATTAATATAAATAATAATTTTTTTTTCTTTCTTTTGCTGAATGCTTCGATCAGTTTATGTAGTAATTCCCAAATGGTAATAAACATTATGTGTAAACAAAACTGTTGGATGATAACATGAAGACTAATTTATCACATCGTTTTTTTCAGCAGAATACTGTATATCACCCGCAGCAAATTATTTCTGGTGATTGAAGTAGGCTGATAATGTTGCGTATCATCAAAATCTGATAATCTGAAGTAAAATTTGCATTTACTTCAGAGTAAATTATAACATTTAAGAAGTTTCTAGTTGATAAAATATAACAAAAATTGAGCTTAATAAAACATCTATTACAGCGATTTAATTTATATTAGCTTGAAATTCTTGAAGTTTATCTTTAAAAAATAAATTTCGAGAAAAATTTGTAGTTGTTAAGTGACATAATACAATATGGATTGATAAATGAAAGTAACGGAACAGTTTTTGATTATCGTAACGCATTCAGTGAAATTATCATATCCATCTCTGCTGTTATAACATTTTAATTTAATTTGAAAAACCAAGCTTAGATATTACAGAGATAATTTCGCTTTCCAAATGCACTTGTAAATTTTCAGTTAAATTTTTAGAAAAATCATTTGGTAATAGAATTCCTGTAAATTCTCTGTAATTGAAAGTGCTATTTTTAAATTATCATTTTTCTTTATTAAATGATATAAGTTATGAAGAAAACTAGCAAAGCATTATAATTACTGCCAATTCCAAAAAATATATCATATGCTTTTTAGTCATAATCAAAGAAAAAAAAAATATAAAATTGAAATGGATCATATGCATCGAAATGATTTTAAATGGAATTAGAATTTGAAATTTAATATGGAAATTGCAGCAAATTTTATTTTCCAAATAACAAAAAGGAAATTAATTATAAGTAAACCGTTTGGAACATAAATCGAGCAGTTGTTTGTAGTTTGGCGGTGATAGTATGGCATTAGTAATCCATGACCAATTCATTTTACATTCTGTGGACTGTAATTTTCCATTAGCCATATCAATAAAGCTCAAATATACCGATGTTATTATTATCATCGATAAAAATGAATTGGTTTTTACAAACATTTCTGAAATGAGAAAACTCAAAATAACAATAATGATGAACTAAAGTATTATTAAACTAATGGAAATGAAAATGATAAAATTAAATTGCTATTAAAAGAAATTATCATTTTTTAAAATTTTAACACCTCAACATAACAGTAGTACTTCCGATATTATATTTCGATGAAATATTGTGTAACTTTTGTTTCAATAAAGAAATATTTTCAATGTTTTAAAAAAAAAAAAAAAAAACGTTGACGCATTTTATCTGTCGTCTTCTTCCGATAATTTCAATTACTTAATTATTACTTTACTTTTATTCCTTCGTCATGTATGACGAAATTAGAAAAAAAAAAAGAAGCAAATGATGTGCTTAACATTAAGTGAGATATTTTAAGTTATGTTATAATTTATTTTATGAATTATCCCAATGTTCTTTGAGGATGAAATTATCATTTATTACCAATTTGATATTTATAAACAACAAATTGTTGAGCATTAGCTTGAAATTAAATGAAAAATTAATACTACTGTTAGCTTCATATGAATATTTTTGATGAAAGTATTCATCGTATCATCGATTAATGAAAGCTTTTATTAAACTGAGAAAGGTATTCAACTTTGTGATCTGAGAAATGCTTGTGATTATTGTAGAGAAATGGATTGCTGAGTGAATCATTTAACAAATATTTTGCTTTGACATTAATTAATCAATTAATTAAAGTTAAATGATATGGTATTTTTAGTCAGCTGAAAAAGTGACAATATTGTCCACTTAATAGTTATTGCCTGAATATGTGATTATTTTCATTCCAAATTGAAAAAAAAAAAAAAAAAAAGTATTTTTGCTACTTAGTTTAACAATGGATTAAAATCGATATTACTTAATAGATTATTTAATGAAAGTGAAAGTATTATAGTGTAATTGAAGTTATAATATATAAGTGAATTTGATGTGAAACAAAAAAGAAAAAAGAAACTACAACAAATCTTCAAACAACATTTTTGGATGAAACTTGAAATATTACTTTTTAAATAAAATAATCTTATCATTGAAATGTAGCAAATTTTTTAAACGAACTAACCAAATATCAGCATAAATGTATATAATCAGCAGTTATATGTTATTGAAATTGTTCGAGATGAAATTTCAATAAATTCATCTTAAAAGTTAAACTGCTTATTAATGAAATGTAAATGAGTGATAGGGATGAGCAAGCATGTAATTATCCTCTTCCTTATGACGCAAAATCAATCATTTTTGATCTATCTAATATAAAATATGATGCAAAAAAGAAAAAAAAAAAAAATTCTAATCGACCAATTTAAATATTTTATTTGTCTTCTTTTCATTAATTATTCATTCATTCTTACAATTATGATTAAATTTAAAATACGACATATTAATTTATTTCTTAGTAATTCAATGATGAATGTAAAATTTATAAATAACATTTGAATAATGTAAAAGAAATTGATAAAAAATTATTGAAAATTATTCTAAAATATCATTGAAATATTTACGATAAATTACCATTAATTAATTACACTATTGAAATTTTAAATAAAAGTTATAATAAGAATTTTAATTTTAAATAAAAAAAATTTTTGATGAAATTTTAAGTAGGAGAATGATGAATCATTCAAAAGAATTTCGTCATTTTGTGTTTATTAAAATAATAATTATTAAAAAAAAGTATAAAATTTTTTTAAAATTTAAAATTATAAAATTTTTGATAACTTAGAGATTTTTCTTTTTCTTCTTGTAGGTTTTTATGAAAATGTATGAAAATGAAACTGTAATAATATTATAAATTCTAATTTTTACTTTTATGTATCCAAAAAACTTATTTCTATTGATTTCTTAACTTATTTTCTGATTAGTTTTTATGAAAACGCAGAAAATTAGATTTTTAATCAATAATATTTTTAAATAATTAATAATTTTTCTTTAAAATAATTTTTAAAAAATAATATTTATGTATGCTACGACTGCAAATAATTTTTTTTTAGCACTATGGTTTCATGTTCAAATTTTATCACATATAAACAATTACCATTTCATTAATAATTTGTTAGCAGTTTGCCTTTTTTAATTCAACCTTTAATTAATTTAAAATTAATTCTTTTAAAAATTTTTTTTGATTTAATTAGGTTTTATTCATTAGAATCAAAGTTATAAAATATGCAATACATGTTAGAGTGAGAAATTTTAAAAATTTATTGGCCGCAATTCTGGTGATTTCAAGTTCAGTAATTTTAAATTTCAATGATTTCATGATTTCTCTTTCAATGCATAGTTCAATTTTTTCAAATTTCAGTGAAAGCATTCGTCAAAAAGATTAGTTGAGAACAAACAAATTAATTCAAATTATTAAAAGATAAAAAGGAACTGAAAAAAAAAATTTTTATATAAATTAAATGATAAAAAGAAAAATAAAAAAATGAAAAAAGAAAGTTGCCGAGAGATAAATAAATATCTCACAAACATCTCAGAATTAAATTTCAATCTGTTACAGATCACATTAAATTCTCATTTTGATGTGACACACAATTTATCATATCATATTTACACTTATCAAATTTCAAACCAATTTAATTCCAAGATTTTCCTCGCATGTTTATTTTTAATGGTCTCATTAAAATTTCTATCATTAAAAATCATCATTAAAATAAATTTATTTCTAACATATAACATAATTAAATATTATAATATAATACTTTGAAAAAAATATGAAAAAGGAATTGAATTAAAATCGACACTGAAATAGAATTTAATCTAAAATGATGCATAATTTCCGATGGAAGCAAATAACATTGAATTAAACAGTTTAACATTCTTACTAATAAGAAATAGAAAATACAATTTAAAAAAATTTCCATTTAAAAAAAAAAAAACAATAGTGAAAAACAGGAATGAATAATTAATTTACAATGAAAACGTAAAGAAAGAGGAAAAAAAAGAACTGAAATTTAAATAATTTTTAAGCTTATTGTGAATTTGCCAATAACTAAAAAACATTTTATCATTTTATTTAATTTTGCTTCTGCTTCAGGAAATGAAAATTTGCTACTAAGGAATGCATTTGATATTGTTGTATAATTTCAGTGCCTATTTAATTTTAGTTTTTTTTTTTTTTATTTTATTATCTAATCAATTTATCATTTATTTTAAGGATGACAAGAAATGAAATGTTCAAATGAAATATGATAACTATGCTTATCTTATCACTAAAATATGTTATATAGAAAAAGAAAAAAGTAATTTGAAGGATTAGTTACTATTACAATTATTACAAATTATCAAATTTCAATTCAAATTATCACCTAACCTTTACTGTCTTTTCATTCAGTGATAATTTTTAATGAATAATTATTTGCATTCAAATCAAATTCTGTTATTTGTTTTCAAATGTGAAAATTAATTTAATAAATCAATTCCGATCAATTATTTCTATTTCACATAAACAATCCCAAATGCTTTTATTACTAAAACTTCTTGTTAAATTTTTCATCTAAAAAATTCTTTTTTTTTTTTTCAGTAAACAAATAAATAACAAAAAATTCAAATAAATTGCATTCGTTTCATTGAAAGGAATTTATTTTGTTTATGAAAACGATGATTATTGACTGATTTGATTGATAAATTTTTACCATTTTTCACAGATTTAAATGATAATTAAGCATCAGAATCGTTATAATTAATTTTAAATTCGTAGTAAAAGTTAAATTGTCCAGTAACTATATGATATATTTTAATTGAATATTTTAATTTTTAATGTTTTAATTAGAGGGAATTAAATTATCAAGTACTTAATCATCAAAATCGTTACAATTAATTTTAAATTCGTAGTAAAAGTTAAATTATTCAGTAACTATATGATATATTTTAATTGAATATTTTAATTTTTAATGTTTTAATTAGAGGGAATTAAATTATCAAGTGCTTAATCATCAGAATCGTTACAATTAATTTTAAATTCGTAGTAAAAGTTAAATTATTCAGTAACTATATGATATATTTTAATTGAATATTTTAATTTTTAATGTTTTAATTAGAGGGAATTAAATTATCAAGTACTTAATCAACAGAATCGTTACAATTAATTTTAAATTCGTAGTAAAAGTTAAATTATTCAGTAACTATATGATATATTTTAATTGAATATTTTAATTTTTAATGTTTTAATTAAGGGGAATTAAAACATCAAGCTAAACCATCTTTTTTTTTTTTTTTCAACTAATTTTTATATTTTTTTCACAATATTTCTAGTCTGTACAATTTTTCTTAGATAGTAACAATTTCATTTTTCGAATAATCTAAGGTATTCGTAAAACAATGCACAAAAAAAAAAAAAAACTTATTCGATTAAAAAAAATAATGTAATGAAGAAGAAATTAAAATATCATTTAACTACTACTAGCAACATTCTCCTATACTGGAAAATAAAATTGAAATTGTTAAATAAATAAGAGTAAACAGAAATTTTTAGAAAAAATTTGATTAATTTTTGTATAACTTGTTTACAATTATTATACTTATCAGAATTATTTTTTTAATTTTCATTAATCACAATCAGCTATGAAATTATTTTAGTTTGTTTAAATTGAATAATATTTCGATTTACATAGAAAACCACAGATGTAGTGCATGTGTTGATAACAATGATAATGATAATGAATAATGATAGTGATAATATAGTTGTTGTGATAAGAAGGCATATGTAATGAAGGTTTTGTTTAGAAATATTGTCAAATTCTACGTTTTCTTTTTCTTATCATTTTACAATCGATATGATCGCTCATCTTATCGTTTAGATTATTGCTGTTATTTCAAGATAAATTGTGTCAGTTTTAATATTTCGTTACTCGTTGAAGCAATTAAATGAATCCGCAATGTTAATAATAACAACAATAAAATTAGTAATAATATTAACATTAATAATAATAATAGTAATAGTAATAATGGAAATAATAATAACGTTGGCTATAATAGCAATAATAGTAATAATAATAAATAAATAGTGTAATAACAAAAAAATGATGATAAAACAATAATGCCAATAATAACAATAATGTTAATAATAATAATAATAGTAATAACGATAATAGTAAATAATATGATGACAAAATAGTGATGTTAAAATAATAATGCCAATACTAATAATAATCAACAACAATAGTAATCAATGATAACGATTAATCATGGCAAAAATTGATAGTAATTATTATTATTTAAATTTCATTTCGATTCCCGGAATCTTTATATTAGTTTTTTCTAATATTTAAGAGTTCATTATTTCTTTTTGTATGTCATTTTGGTTATAATTTTCTTCATTGTTTCCAAATTTATTAGATATAACTGTATTTATTATGCATATACAGCTGTAATTTGATCTATTTGCTCAATTTTAAAATGGATGCAAAAATTTTCACTGCAAAATGCTTAAGTGAAATTCTAATTTTTAAATTTCTCATTGAAATGAGCTTTCAGAATAGCAAGCTGTATTTGTTTATCATATCTGTATGATACTTCATTTAAAACATATGTTATAATTCTATTGTAATTCTATGAAATTAATTTTATTGCTAAAATTGATGCATAAGAAGCTAAAGGAAAAAAAAAAAGCTTATTAAAGAGATATAAAAATTCGTTTTAAAAAGTTGATTAATCCAAATACTAACAATTTATAAATTATCAAAAAAAAAAAAAAACTTTCAGTTTTGATATTCGACCAAAGATAACAGTTTCCTAACTTTTAGATATTTAATAATATTTTTCAACTCTTCTTTAATCTCTTTAAGGAAGCCATTTTCTATTTTTCAAAAAATTTCCATCCAAAAATTTACATTTGTTTATGTTTCATGAAATTGTAAAATAATCAGAAATGATAAAATTTTCATTATCTCTATTAAAATTCAAATATTTTTATTTCGATAAATTTAAAATATTATATTTTAATAAAGAATAGCTCAAAAGTGTGTAGAATGATGTTTGTTTTTGCAAATAATAATAATAATAGTTGATTCAATATAATTTCTTTTACTGTGAATAATTATTGGATGAATGAAATTGAAGAAGAAATGAGGAATAAATGAATAATTTGAAAAACTACAAATTATTTCAAATTTCATACAATATTTAAAATTTGACATTAAAACAATTTCATACATATATATATATATATGAAATGATAATATGAATTGATCAATAAAAATAATCAAATTATCAAATTAACTGCATAATCGATCATTCACAAAACAATTTTATCAATCTAATCCATGCTCCCATCCATGACGCCATTTACCCCAAACATCATATTCTACCGGATAATCCCACATACCGGATCCATGTCCATAACTATGCTCATATGGAGTATCATGATTTCCATGATGATGATGATGATTATGATGATTAGGAAGATGAGGAGGAGATGTATCATGATGATAATGTCCTTTATGTATATCATGTCCTAAAAAAATAAATAACACTAATCAAAATGATCTTTAACCTTAATCATTATTTTAAAAAATTTAGTTTGCTAGAATTTTTTTTAATTAAAAAAATATTATCACAAAAAAAAAAAAAAAAAAAAACAAAACAAACAACAAATATCATATATACCTTTAGAATAATCCTTTTCACCTTCATGCTCATAACCTTTCTGGAAATTATTTGCCCAACCATCATGAAATTCTCCACCATTTTCATGTGCATCAAGACCTTTTGCATCATTATGATATCCTTTTCCATGTTTACCCCAACCGGATGCTTGATGTGCATCTAAAATTTTACAAAAAAAAAAAAAAAAAAGATTTTCCAATCTAAATTTAAATAATAATAATAATAAAAGTAATGATAATAATCGTAATAATAATTATAGTAGTGGTAATAATAATAATTTCCCTCTATTCAAATTAATTTATATATTTATTACCTGATTTATGATCTTTTGATGTATGATGCAAACGATCTGTTCCAACTTTTTGACGATGTTTTTCATCAGTGTAAAATTGTTCCACATGATATTCCGGTTGTTTATATTGATAATCAAAGAATCCAAATGTTTTTGCTTTAACATCTGTTGCAAAAAAAAAAAAAAAAAATTTAAAACAAAAAAAAAAAAAAAAAACAAAACAAAACAAAATTTTACATCATATTTAACAATTTATTTGCATATATTTTAATAATAAATAAACTAATCTTTTATGAAAGAATACAAAAAAAAAAAAAAATTCAATGAATGAATATTTTAAAATGTTTTTTTTTTTTTTATATTTGACTAAAATTAACTTCAAATTTATACTAGTTAAATTAAAAAAAAAAAAAAAAAAATGAATACCTTTTCCAAGTGCACTAGCATGATCAAGATGCTTTGATGCACCTTTTTCAACTGTAGCTAATGCATGTTTACCTGCACCGGTAGCTGATTTTAATGCATGCTTTTCACCTTCCTCTTTTATTGCATGTTTAAAATTTGTCAAATCTTTTTCATGATGACCATCTTTTTTACTCTGATAACCACTATCATGTCCACCATTCCAATCAGCCCATGCAATATCATATTTATTCTTTTCTTTATTGTATTCCGAAATTGGTTCTCGTAATGCACTACTTCAAAACAAAAAAAAAAATTAGATGAAAATTATATTCTTAACTTAATTTTTGCAATAGTTATAATAAATAAATTTACAATGTTATTTTCATTTTAATTTTAAAACAAATAACCTTTTCTATTTCGTTTCCAAAAAAATTAATTTTATTGATTTAACTAATTGTTTAATTAATATTTTCATTTTAACATTTTTAAATTTGACCAATGTTAGTTATTCAATCCTTGAAGTAATAGTAATATATGTAAAAAAAAAAAAAATATTTGAATTAAGTTATAATTTACATTTAAAAAATATATATGATCTTATTGCAATAGCTAGAAAATGTAAAATTAATTTCTAAATTAAAAAAATCTTTGGAAGAAAAGAGAAAACAAAGAAAACATACCGTGGTAATCGTAATGAGCAAGAAATATTAGAAATAATAGTAATAAAAAAACAAATTTTAATAAGCATTATTGTAATTTTTGTATTCGATTTTTCTTGATTGATTGATCGATTGATCGATCAATTGATTGATTGATTTATACTTCTTATAAATGAAGAAGTATTATTATAATAAAATGATTAGCTAAGAGAGAGAGGGGAAAAAAACCAATTTTTTGAAGCGAATATAATTTGCTTATATATAATATTGGTAAGTCGGTCAAAGCTAGTTTTTTCATACTGTTAAAATTTGTTGTTGTAATTTTAATTATGTAGAAATATGAGTTATGATAATGACTGCTTCTTATAAAAATTCAAACAAGCTTCTTCTCTATTATCATATAATCGGACCATAAAAAAAAAAAAATGAAAAGAGACGTGTTCTTTTATTTCATGTACATTCCATTCTGACAATGATTATCAGGATGATAATGAGAGAGAGAGAGAGAGAAAGAAAGCTATCTAACTTGTATACATTTATAAAAATAGAGCAAAAAAAAAAAAAAAAGAAATATTTTAAAATATGCTTTAAAAAGGCTTTCTTTTCTTCTATTTTTTACATTAGAAAACTTGTTTCCATTCAAAAAATTAAAATATTTCTCATAAATGCTAGTCTAACAAAAAAAAAAAAAAAAGACTGTTGCAAGAAACATTTCGAATTTAAAAATAGATTTTAAAAATTTCTAAATGAAACAAAAATTTTTTGTAAAACCACTGAATTTCCGAAAATTTGACAATAAGTGTCTGCGATCAAAATAAATTATTGAATTAAATAGCCACAGTGATTTTATGAAGTTATTCAGGAAATTTATCATTCAGAAATTTACAATTATTTTAGAAAGCAAGAATACATTTTATCTTATCAGATTTTAATAATTCACAAACGAGTACCAACTAAACAATCTTCATTCTTCGTTTTCATTATAATACGTTCAGTTTTCTTTTCTTTCTTCTTTTTTTTTTTTTTTTTTTTTCTATTTTCAAAACATATTCCTCGCATTTAGTGATCATTCCAATCATAAATTATAGCTTTTAGAACTTGTTTTAATAAATGAAATAGCAAATTCAGTGAAATGATAGCTGGCTATATGGTTTAGTCCAAGAAAAAAAAAACATCACATTTTAAAATACAATCATGATTTAAAATATTCATGCCTTTCTTCCCTAATCACTTTTTGAATAATAAATATGCAAATTAAGCGACAATATTAGGTGATTCCTAAATGAATTTTATATGAACTATCATCATCACGTCAAATTAACCATTAGTATGAACAGTCAATTCAATTCAATATCTCTTTTCAAATATTTTGCATTTAATTAAGCTTTTTTATATGCAATGTACTAATTGTTTCATATTTATAAAGTTGGTATTCAATTTTGTAAATTCACGAAAAAAAAAAAAAAAAACCAGACATCATGCTAGAAGCTAACAGTGAAACATCTTTAACCGAAATTTATCCATAATTAGAGTATCATTAGTTGAAAGAGATCTTGCAGAAATTAAATTTAGAAGCTAAAGACAGAACAGGAAAGCATGTAATGCTATATAAACAATGGAATTAACGAGAAAAAAAAAAAAAAAAAAAAACAATTCTATTGTGCAAATATTGCCTAAGTACACCAAAATTAATACGGTATGCAGAACTAAAATTTAAGATGCTTAATAATATTACAAATTTATATGGCACCAATTTTCTTACTATTAAACATTGCCTTATCTCAAAACTTCAAAAATGTTTTAATCGGTGTGAAATTTCGGTTTAGCTTACCAATGTGAAATTAAGCTTTTCATATCAAACGTCTTTATAGTTTCATCTTGAAGACTACCTATGTACAAATTTTCGAATTAACTTTTTTTGAAATACAAATTGTGAACTAGCAACGCTCAATGTAGATTTTCCCTTTAAAAGCAAAACATTATGAAATAATACGGCAGTGATACAAATAAAATATGAGTATATATATATCACTAACGAATAAATATGAGATCTTGTTTCAGTAGAAAAAAATTCATAACATTCGTGCAAATTGTTCTAATCGATCAGTATCCGATACAGTATTTGCAACAATCTTTTGATTCAGAGATTGAGAAGCATCCTTCGAAATAACATTTTTCATCCTGGAACTATTACCTCCTGCTTCCTTCGTAGCTACACTATCATCCGATTTTTCATCCAGAAACTAGAAACAGATCAGTAATTAGTCCAAATTAAATAAATAAATATACTTGACCAAAAAAAATTACATAACACAGTAGTGAGGGATCATCAATCAAAATAAATGGGTTTAATATAGAGCTATAAAAAAAAAAAAAAAAAAAAAAGAAAAAAAATCATTAAGCTAGGCTTACAAATAATTCAGATATCTAAAATACCTGGCTACCAGCTCGCGAACGGCGTACGGTGATCGTCTGTGGTACATCCCACGTAGGAATTTCAGACTTTTGTGGAGATTTTTTTTTCGTTGGCGGAGATACTGAAATTGTTGATGTGGTTTCTTGTGAGACAGATGACTGACTGCTCCTAAAGCAAACGAATATCAAATTTAATCTTCAAAATAAGAAACCTGAAAGTAACATCGAAATAACAACGTAAAGATAAAGGTTTTTTCAAAAAAACTTTTCTTCGATTTTGAAATATTCAAAAACAACTCTTAGAAGTTGCAATTTGATTACTTTAAAATTCGAATATTCTTTTCGGATTTGTTCGTATGTTTCCTTTTCTCTGCCATCGCACTGTAATCACTCCCTCGATAAGATGGTGCTCGGTTCACGGACAAATCCTCTTAAAGAAATCGAATAACAATAAAACTATTCTTACAAATATTTCAAGTCAGATTTAAAAATAATTTCAAATTTCAACATAGAAATTACCACTGGTCACTGAAAGCACTTTCGATCCCTTTGTACTCATTGTTTCTGAAGCATTAGTATTACCAACCGTTTTTTGCTGAAAAAAATATTTTTTAAATAAAAAATAAGTATTTTTCGAAAGTAGAATGTACGTAATCTTAGATAAATTAAGTAATCATGTTTATAAAAAGACTAATAGGTTGGATCTTTGAGAACTATAAAAATTTACCGGAAACTCATATTTCCCATCGACGGCATGATTTTCATCCCCCTTCTCTTTATGTTTTTTCATTTCTTCCAAAATATGAACTGCAAAACGACAGTAAATAGACTAAGTAAATATCCAAGAGCACAGTAATGAAATTTCCGGTTATCAAAAAGATACAAGCATGAGAAAATCTGATTACAACTTATAAAATATCACAGTGCAAACATAGATTTAAAAATTTAACAAAAACATCCGCCTATTTAAAATTCGTATGAAAGTAAACATACGTGGTTTAATTATATTCCGGATATTTCCTGGATCGATAGCAACAGATTTCGTACAATCAAATGTTTTGTAAATACCAATAAGACGATCTGCTAACTCAAACATGTTATTTCGTAAAGAAATGATGATAAATTGAGCATTTTTGGTGCGATCCTGAAAACATCTATACTTCTTTCTTTTTTACAGTGATCGGATTGTTGCAGTTAAACGTATTTCTTAAATACTTTATTATTTCTTGCCTAAAAGTAAAAAAGTAGAGCAAGAAATGAATAAAGAAAAAAATGTGAACTTTTTTAATTCACACAGAATTTAATTTAAATAACAATTGCAGTGAATTGTGTAGTTCCTGTTATGAACGTGGAAATTTTTTAATACTTAAAAAGCACACCATAAATCATAGAAATGAATATTAATTATCTCATTCCAAAAAAAAAAAAAAAAGAAAGAAATGACCAAATGATAAAGAAACACGCGTGACGAAGAAAAAAAAATAATGAAAAGTAAATGATACTTAATATGATATATAATTATCATTTTTTCAAGAAAAACAAAGCATCAAAAAACCAACAAAATGAATTTTTTGAAAGAAATTTAACAGATTATTAACTATATCTAAATTGTTACCTTAATATAATGTCCAATAATCGATACATTTCTAAAATCCAAAGCAGCATCAATCTCATCCATGACATATAATGGTGTTGGTCGATAATGATGCAATGCAAAAACTAGAGCCAATGATGACAGTGTTTTTTCACCACCTGACAAATTAGTAATTTGCTTCCATGATTTTTTTGGTGGTCTTACACTGAAAAAAAATAATAATAATAATAAAAAAGAAAATGTTACAATTAACTTTAAGAAAGATAGGAAGAGTGAAAAGTAAGCAAATCTTTTAATTGACTTAGAATTTTTTTTTTTCCTAATTTTATAAAAATATAAGCTTACCCGAAAGCAACACCTTCACTGAACGGATCAAGTGAGTCAACTAAGTCCAAACTAGCATCACCACCTAATGTTATCATCTGATACATTTCCTTTAATGCTAAGCCAATTCGTGTAAAACCATCCATAAATTCATTCATTCGTTGTTTCTTTAGCTGTTCATAAAATTGACGATGCTTATCACGTTTCGTTGATATATCAGATAAAGCTTCTACTTCACGATCGTAACGTTCCAGCTAAAAACTTTTTAAAAAATTGATGTCATTTTTTCATTATAAAATTGACAAATAAAAAAAATATAAAGAACAGAAAAAAATATCATCAAATTTCTGCTAGAATTCGAAATAAGCACATCTAATGACACTTTTAGTAATAGAATCTCAGCTAGTTTTTGTTGAAATAAACCACCCAAATTCATACAATAAACTATTCAAATAAAATTTAAGAAACGGTTTAGACCTATAACATTCATTCTTCATCGAGTTATGTATAAATAGTGTTGATAGAAATAAATTATATTTCCTACCTTCGTAACATACTCTAGCAAACCATTTGTATTCAGCACTTTGTCGACCTTCTTCTTTTCCAAATTTGTCAAAGCAAATCTATAAAAGAATTTTAAAAAAAAATTAAACGTTTCTCGAAAACTAACAGTTATTTTAGAAATAATTCATAATGGTAAACAGTACTTCATATCCTGTACATTGAAATTCTTGATTTCCTCTTCAGAATATTCTGGCACATTCTTGTAGCGTATAATACCATCTTTATCAGCTTCAACAGTAATTTCACCATTCTGGAAAAGAAAATATTACTTAATATTAGGTCAAATGTAACGCAGATTATTTTCTAAGATTTTAAAAATGCAAATTACCTTTAATTTTTTAAAGAATTCATGTTCAACTCTCAAAGCTTCCTGCAATCCATAATCATCATCCTCTTCTTCGCTTGATTGAAGTGATTCTGGCAAGCGATCCAAACATTTCACATAAGACAAATGCAATGCTTTGATCTGTAATATTTTTAAATTACCTATGAGTCAATCTTATAAATATAACTACCAGAACAACAGCATGCCTCAGTACTTCATTATGAGATCTGATATCTTATCAATGCAGTAAAAACTATTGAAGTTTTGACATCACCAGTTTTGGTTTGAGATATCAAAGAGAAATGAAGAACAAAAACAGCCCAATTTTCAACTCTTTCCATAAAATCCTTATCCATATTTTACTGCGATCATTACTGCCTTTAGCTAGAGATCGAAATTATTTTTTTATAACGGATTCCACTATTACTACGATAAATTAAGCTTACTTTGCCCTCAATCATGGTTAGTTTTCCCTGTTTATGTTCCAAAAGTTTCATTTGCTCGAGAATAGAACGTGTCAAATTAGCGCATCGCTTCTTAAGCTCAACTTCTTCAGCATCCAATTCAGAATTTTTATTGAATGCCTCTTTCACTCTAACTTCAGCTTCTTTCATCACTTTCTGTAAAATTAATATTTAAATACTTGTAATACGATCATTATATCGCCAAATGAGGCGCAGTATATTTCAAATGAAATTTTGAAAATGGGTATGTTGAGAAGAAAGATGAAGATGGATATGTTAAAAGAATGTGGAAATGATTTTTTCGAGAAAATCATATTAGAGAAACAACAAGTTGCTAAGCGAATAAGACCCTGCCCAGCAAAAATTGCCAGATATTCTTAATGAAATGAATGCAGTTACCTCGTTTTGAATTTTCTCTTTAGTTAATCGATTAATATCTGCTTCTTGAGTATCTTCAGTTAATTCAAGTTTTTTAATTGCTTCGTCAGTTTCACGCTGATCGGTTTCAAGATCATTTTTCCTAAAACACCATTCAATTTTACTTCCTTATCAAACTGCTGAATAACAATATTTTTTGTCAAATTTCAAAAATTCAAAACTGTCATACCTGTTCAGTGCTTTATTCATATTCCGTTGAGCATTATTAAGCACACTTTGCTCTTTTGTTGCTCCTTTTGATGCATTTTCTTTCCTTAAATTTTGTTCAATTTAAAAAAATCTTTCTTCCAAAAATAACTAGTCTCTAGAAAAAAAAAAAAATCTTCACATGCAGCTGCTGAATTATACAAATCATAAACCTACTTCGCTCTAACTTCGTCAAGTTCCTTTTGGTAAGGACCAACAACTCGATCATAAACCTCCTGGATTTTAGTGTTTATTTCGGCCACTTTTTCCCGTGCTTCATCTGCCTCCTGTAGTGCTTTATCACGGGCTAAAAACAACTGCTTTTTTATTTACAAAATGGAAGGTTAAGTTTTCAGTGCTTTCAAAAAAGTTCAGTACGTTATAAAAGAATCAAACCTTTCGTAAGTTCCGCTACTTCAGCTTTTTTACGTTGTATGTCTCTATCATCTACAGTAATGCTTTCAACTCTTGCCGTTTGTTCTTTCAGTCTGCGTTCAAGATCAACTGCTTTTCTTTCAAGAGGTTCAATGTCACTTGATAAATTTTGTTCATTTTTCTTGAGTCTATCGAAATCAGCTTGAAGTGACATTATGCGAGAATCGAGCTATAAGTTGAGTTAGAATTTATATAAAGGAGATGAAAATTTCCTCAATAAAATAAATTACAGTTTGTTTCAATTAAAATGAAAATGTATTAGTTCATTAAAAAACCACTTTGATTATAAACCTGATGGATAGCACTTCGCAAATTGATTAATCGATTCTGCTCTTCAGTTAATTGGTTCTTTAGCTCAGAAATCTCCTCGGATGATTCCTTCGAAGTATCAATTTTGACCTTTTGGCCAATTCTACCTCTACAAATACATAACATATTTAGAATACGTACAAAATATTATTAATTCAGACAATCTACAAGAAAAAATGAGTACCTTCGTTCAGATCTTCCACCACCTGTCATCGAACCAGTTGTTTCAACCACTTCACCTTTCAGCGTAACCACCCGGTAACGTCTAGAACCACCCATACCAATACGTGTTGCAGTAGTAATATCATTTGCTACCAAAGTATCACGTAATGCAAAATAAAATGCAGGTAACACAGCAGGATCTGCTACACGAATTAAATCGAACAATCGTGGTGCATTTTCAGGTCTGAAAACAAATAATTTTAAACAAAGAAAGCTATTTCAGAACGAAAAAAATAATTGCAATGCTCTAATGTCAAAATTTTTTGTATTTGTTATTCAACGTACGTGGAAGCTAGCTTTGCCATATATGGCCGGAGTTTCTCCTGTTTATCAAGTACCAAAAAAGAAGCAATGCCCAAATTCTGGCGTCTTAAAAAATCCACACATGTTTGAGCAGTATCAACGTTATCAACTACGATGTAATCCAACGGTCCACATGTTGTCGAAATAGCGACATCATACTTTTCATCAATTGCACCGAGATCACCCTGTAAGACAGAAACACAGATTCTAGGAATATTTAGGCTTTAGAAAATCATGAATTTGATTTATATTTTGAAAGATTTGATAATTTCAAATACATATGAATATTAGGATTTGGGCATGACGTAGATCAGATTAGTGAGACAGAAAGTTACTAAATAAAAATTTAATTTTAATATCAATTATGACAGTAAACATACGAGACGACCATATATTCCAGGTATGTTTCCAGATGATTTTTCAGCCATCAAACATCTCAACAGATTGTTCTGGCTTTGGAAAGCTTCTACCGTTTGCCGCTTTTGTTCGAACTTTGCCATAAATTGCCGAACCTGAGAAAATGCAATTTCTTCCAAAATCAGTTTGAAAAATTTCTCTGGGAGAAAAACATTTTTATTGAGAGAACGAATGAACAACATATAATTAAGTGAAAGCAACAATCCATTTATTGACTAAGACAAAAATCAGACTCATATGAAAAGTGGAATTATGTTTGGGATTTCCAGTAAAACAACAAAAAATAGTTTTTAAACAAAAATTCTACTTATTTCACACACTAATGCATATTTTACTATGTTTTCAGAATCTTTATATTTTATTGAACAAATAGAAAAACGAACATTTTCAGTGCACTCTGCTTCTTCTCTTCGCTTGTTTGTCATTTCTACCTTAGCATTACAAAGCTCTTTGTCGACATTTGGAATTGCTTTTCTTACGTTACTAAGGTCACTGAAAATATTCAACGTGAAAACCACCTGCATAGATCAGGCCACGCAAATTTCATCATGTCGTTAGCAGTCAAAATTCAAGCATTTTCCCAAAGTGCGGTAAAATTTTTGTTTAAAAGGATTAAAGCTCAGAAAAGAGCTTTTTCTTTTGTCACAATTCTGAAGACAATACATATTTGTTTAGAATAAAGCTACAATTATCAGGTATATTACTTTTCTAACATATCAATTTCATGTTTGTTAAGAAGAGAGAAATATTGGCATACTTCGTTTTGGATTCCAAAAGAGTTTTAACATCATTCAGAGATGTCTGAATTTCAGAAAGTTTTTTCTTCTCCATTTCCTCTTCTCTACGCATTAACTGAAGTGCTTCTTGTGCCAACGTTAACTAAAAACTCACTTATTAACTTGATTATTAATATTATTTAAAAAGAGGTGTTTCTTAAATTTCATAAATTTCTATTCTTTCCATTACAAATTCTTAAGTTTTATGATGAAAATTTATGAATGTTTTATGATGAAAATTTATGAATTATCTGATGTTTCCGGAATAGATAAGTAAAAAATAAGGAACTAACCTTGCTGCTTGCCTCATCCTCCTTAGCAGTAAGTTCCCCAAGCTGTTCTTCTAATATCTTTTTTGGACCTTGAAACTTTGCTGTCTGCTGCTGCAGTTCTTTCAGATGGCTATCAACCTATAACATAATTTAAGCATTAATTGTAAGCCAAAAAATACAAAGAAAACATAATCATTAGAAAACCAAAACATTACTTCAAGTTGCTTTTGAGCAATCACATCATCAATTCCACTTAATATTTCGTGGTATTCCTCAAGTTTGCGCTTTGCCTTAGCGGGTACCTCTTTCAATTCAGATATCTGAAATATAATTCAAGAAGCTGAAAAAAATTTAGTACAAACATTTGCTGTCAAGAAATTCATGTTGATACATCATACATTGATAAATACAATAACATTGCTAATTCACTCAGTGGAGAAAAAGTAGAAATTAGTATATGAGGGAAAAATGATTTTTTTCTTTTCAGAAATGATCTATTTTATTTATCAATTCATCATAATATTTGATGCAACACATCTTTTACTCTCGAGCTTTCTTGTTTGAGGAAATTAAGTGCCTATGCACTTCATATATCATACGTCAGCTTTCCAATAATAACACTGCTAAACATCTCGTTTATCTGATCAAAAATTGGTAGTGAATCACCTAGCAATCAAAAATTTTCACCTGCATGTAACTCTTGCAATATGTATTCCACGTATTTTAACACTAACTAGAAACTGTTACTTCTGCTACTGAAATCATACATTATCGAAGGAATTTAAGGATTCAAAGAAACCTTTTTTTCTTCGTTAGCTATATCACCAATCAATTTCTTCTTCCTGTTAGTAAGGCGAAGTAACTCAGCTTTGCGCTTTTGTTCTGCTTGTTCCAATTCACTAAGCTGATGTTTCGTTTTTTCATATTCTTCCTGAGCTTTCTCAAAGGAACTGAAGAAAACAATAATAAAAAGTAAAAAAAATAAAATGTGGTCTCCTATTACATAGTAAGATTACACAAACAAACTAAAACTTTGAAAATTATTAAAAAAGGTACTGATAGAATATAAAGTTATCGTCACCTCTGCAGTTGTTTCTGTTCATCTTTTCTGCTCTTTTGTAAGGCTAAGACTTCTTCTTGTCGTTTTTTTGTGTCTTCCAGGTCTTTCTCAAACCCTTCTTTTTCCCGCTCATTTGCTTCCAGCTCCGATTTAGCCTTGCATCTAAGAATGAATAGAATGATTAAACTTTCCTAATTTCAGAACGTTAATTTTATGTGAATGTAGCACAAAATTGGACTGTACGTCATATGCACAGTTTCATTTCTGGATTAAAATATGAAAAAATTTACCGGTCAGCCTGCAGTAAACGATTCTTCGCCAATGCAATACCGTTGTCAATGCGAAGATCTGTAATAAGGCTTTTCATCGGGCCTTCAGCATCATTTTTTTCTTTCTCCGCAAATTTCGTGCGATTCAACTGCGCAGAACGCTCTTCTTGTAATTGATCAATTTTTCGCTGAATCGTTTCAATCGGAAGCTTAAAAATAGATTTTCTTTACTCTATAAAAATGCAATATTATTACTTCGCAGCAAAAATATGTAAACCAGTTTACTAATTTTTTGAATAAAAGATGACAAAACACGTAAACCTTAGTTGTAGAAATCACACTTAGTAAAACTGGATGCAGGAAATAGAAAAATAACAACCTTAAGTCTACTCGAACCAATGATATCTTCCAAATATTCCAACATGCCATCATCATTTTCATTTAGAGCTTTCGGTTTCATTAAAGCAATTTGTTCGACTTCACCCTAAATAAGGATATCATTTTCATGTAACAAAAAATCGATGCAAACAATTAGATAAAGAATTATGAAAAATAAGAAAACAAGATAATATTCAAAATATGCAAAAATGATATACTTCAATTACCTGCAAAATAAGGAAACGATTATGAATGAGATCAATTCCGACACCTCGCAGCAATACAGCAATATCTTTAAATTGCATCGTTTTACCATTATAAGTATATTTTGAAGAGTTATCACGAAATGCAGTTCTGCTGACGGTAAACTGACTCGATGGCACAACATCATAGCCACCATCAGACTAAAAAGAATAATTTTAGAAGAACTTACTCGCTTCATAAATGATTGCTATCAGTTTGTAAATCCGATCCTGTGAAGAGTTATCACGAAATGGAAGAAAGTAAATTTTTATATAAAATCTTCGCACAGATCATTTTGTTCATATGCATACCAAATCAATAATTTTCTGGAAATTCACACCAACAGTACAACTCGATATGTTTTCACGACCAGCTGAGGAATGAATTAAAACGCTTATTTTCTTGGAACGAATTTTAGATGCACGATAACCAAACACAAATAGCAAAGAATCAATCACATTGCTTTTTCCGCTGCCGTTAGGGCCAATTATAGCCGAAAAATTCTGAAAAAGATGGATATGTGAAAAATAAGAGATAAAAGCCGAATCCCATGTTACAAAAGCATTTCAACTTCAAATTAAAATTAAATCATAAACTATAATTAATAAGGTTTTCAGTTCCTTCATTAAACAAAAACTTGCATCTGATACTAATAGTAGATTTAATGCATATCACATTGACATCAATGAATTAAACAAAAAAATAAAAGACCTAAATCTACCTGATGGAAGGGACCCAAAACATGTTTACCATAATAGGACTTAAAATTTTCAACATCAATACTGGTTATCATAAGTCGTTGTCCACTTCCATCGGCACTCATTATAGGCTCAGGCATCGGAGGAATTTCCATATTCAACAAATTCTGAAGCAAAAATAGTTAAATTTTCGATATTTAATCATTCATTACGTAATGTATCCAAGATTTCGACATAGAAGTCATTAATTTACATAGTTTTATCCTAAAATTCTTAAGTTCACATACACACCTACATTATTTAGAACTTACTTATTCACGACTTCCATAACTTTATATATATATTGCTTAAAGATATCTAAAAAATAAAATTGGAATAACCAAATAATCACCTCCTCATTAACGTCATTACGAACTTGCGCTCGCAAATCTTCATCACTTTCCACGTCTTTCTGATCATCACCATGTTTAACTGTTGCTGTTTCAAAGGAAAAATAAAAAAGTATATAAATCAGTAAATGAATTTTCATTACGATTAAATGTGTTACATTTTGACAGTTGCACTGATTTCACGTTTTATCTGACATCTCTTTACTATTCTTGTCTTCTATTCATATTCAATTGAAACTGAAGAATAAAAAATTTTACAACTTTACAAATTTATAATTTATCAGTTTGCATTATTCTTGCTAAATTTATCAAAAAAGTTCATTTTGCAATGCATACCATTTTCTGCAGTACTAGCATTTTTCCCATGTGACTGAGAAGCTTGCACTTTTTGATGATCTTTCCTTCGATGCATTAGTATGCAATTTAAGTTGTTCCTGAAATTAAATTAACTAAAACTTCACATCTATACTTATACCTTCAACTAGTTCACGATATGACGACGAAAGTAACAGCTAATAAATAACTGAATGCATGAAAATTTATGTTATTACTATTCGTACAACATTAAAAACAAACTTCTGTTACAAATGAATCGATGCAAATAATCAATATGGAAATTGCAACAGGATTTCACAGTACACTTTCTTTAAACTTTCATATAATATTTTAACAAATATTTTTGATTAAATCCTAACTTTTAAATGTCACTTCAAAATCCATGTGCTTCCATAAATTTTCGACTAGTTTAACATAAAAAGTTACCAAAAATAACAAAAAAAAAAATGAAATGTCAAATATCAAATAACTCATCGAATTGAGTTAACTGTTAAATTGGCGCCATACGCTTACTACGGTCGTTGTCACCGTTGTCACCAACATCATCCATTCGTCGTCCTCATTCAATGCTTTGAATAACGGAGTGACGCAATGAAAACTTCCGGAATTTGTTAAAATTTTACTTAGCGTTGTTCAGTAATGATTAATCTTCTAATGTATGATTGTTATCATTATCATTATCGTTGCATACTGATAATAATAATGATAATGTGTCTGAATCTCATATCACATAATAAAAAAATGCATTCATATTAATTGCTGCTAATTATAGATGAGAGATTGGTTAAGAAAGAAAATTTAAAAAAAAAAATTAGACTATAATTTCTTCTATACATATTACCAAGAACAATTTTATTAAATATTGGATCAATGGGTTTTTACCTTTGCGTTAACTAATGATCATTCAAGATTTGATAATGGATAACAATTTCTGCTTTGATAATTGATAACAAATCATGATTTCTGCTTTGATAACTGATAACAAATCATGATTTCTGCTTTGATAACTGATAACAAATCATGATTTCTGCTTTGATAAATGATAACAGATCATGATTTCTGCTTTGATAAATGATAACAAATCATGGTTTCTGCTTTGATAACTGATAACGAACCCTAATTTTTGCTTTGATAAGTGATAATTTCTGTTCTGGCTAATACATTTAGTGAAAAATTATCAGTCGCAGGAAAATCAGTACAAGCATGCACTATGCATGCAACATGCATTATGCACGCATACATGTATCAGTAGAAACTTTTCTCTCAAACATTTGAATAAATGATATATCTCTAATACTTCTTATATTCTTCCAATAAAGAAAAACATTAACAAATTATTAACCAAATTTCATTTTTGCTTTTAAAATATTACAAATGGAAATTTTTTGCTCAAATATTTGAATAAATGAAATATTTGTGATAAAAAGCATATGATATGATACTATTACTTATCATTATTCACTACTTTAATTCATTTCATTCCTCATTACTACTGTGCACGGTGTATTGCATTATTTCTTTTTTTTTAGATTTTCTTGTCTTCTTAAATTATGTTTTCTCACATATTTCGTCTGATAATAGTTTAACGATGTGTATTTCAGAAACTATTTAAGCAATACTTTCTGAATATGTGATTTGAAAGTTAAATTTTTTTCAAAATAATTTTAAAAAAGAAAAACTTTGAAAAATACAAAAACATACAAAAAACGGAAAAAAAGTTAAAAATTCAAAAGAAAACACAGATATGTACATTACATACACATATTTTTGATAGAAATTGAATAGGATTTATAAATTCGAGAATTAATGAAGTAATCCGGAACAGTTGCTGTTGTCCAAGAAATGGTATGTCAATTTGGGGAGCAAAATCCATCATTTCTTATAATTTATATTCATCAAAAAGCAAATGAAAATTACTGGACCGGAGAGTTTTTCATTGAAATAAAGAATGAAAGTTAGTTTTTTTTTTATTTAAAATCTATGCCAAAATTGAATCATTTAAAGGTAATTTACACCTAAGCTTAAAGTTTACAAGTTAGTTTATTAGGTGTAATTAAAAAGTTCTATAAAATTTTTTGAACTCTCGAAAAAATTCTAAAATTTAATTAGTGAAATGGAATCGTCCTGGCATTCTTTCTTTTTTCTATTCAGTAAGAAATTGCAAAGATAAACTAACAAATTCATTCAAAATAATGTGAGATTATTTGGCTAAATTTACATGTTTCAGCTAAGACATATATTTATTTGATATTAAATGAAACTCATAGTTGATTTGATGTTGTAGTGAGAAAAATTGCAATAACATTTCAAAATTCAGTCATTTCTCATTTTATCTATTAAGAAAGAGCTAATTGTTTTGATTTATCTCTTATTTCAAGTTGATGAATGAAGCAAATCTAATGTACTATATTCTACCTGTAATACCGGTTACAGTAATCAATTTAATATACTGCAATCTACCGTATAAACGTGATAAAGTATGCCATCGATTACAGTAGTCAATCTAACATACTGCAGTGTACTGTATAGGCGCAGCACCGTATGACACCGATTACAGTGACCAATTTAATATGTTTTAATCTACCGTATAAACGTGATATAGTATGTTATCGATTACAGCATTGAGCTTAGTATATTGTCTTCTACCGTATAGCTCTTTTACCACATGAGGATGGCTACAGTAGCGATTTCGATGTACTGTAATCTGCAGTATAAGCGTGGTACTGTATGATGCGGATTGTAGTAATCAATTTAATGTGCTACATTCTATGATACAGATCTGGTACTGTATGATGCCGATTATAATATACAAGCAACAACCTGGAATCCATTTTCAACCGATGATGCAAATCGTATGGTATTTTTACAGAAAGGTACTGTAAAAATATTATTTTATGTTTGTTATTTTTGATTTCCATGATTTGGTTAGCATAAATAGCATAAAATCTATCCTTTATTAAATTTAAGTTTTAGTTTTCATTTTTCTAATTGAAATTCTATTTATGCAAGATTTTTTTTTGTTTTTTTTTGGATTAAAAATTATAAATTACTATTAGGAAAATTTTGAACGAGTAATCAATATTTCTTTATTGATTTTTTTTCAAGAAAAGATGTCTTGTAATTACTAAAATTATTGACTGCTTAAAAGATGCTAACTATAACATCTAAATCATCATTCATCATTAATTCATCATCAATAATTAATATTGTTACGAATCAGTAAGGTTAATTTTTTGGCGAGAAACAAAGTTGAACGAATTTAAATTATGAAAATTTGTTTCGTGAATAATTAAACAGTTAATTAATTAGATTATTAAATAATTTGCATTATCGGGTATTATAGGATCCGGTGATGCTATTAATTATAAATTATCGTGTTTATGCTTGAAAAAATATATGTCTTACGTTGAAGTTTCAAGTAATACTGGAATTTTGCCTTGTAATAGACGCAAAAAAATTCGAATTCGTGTCGATGATTGCACCATACACAATGCGACATTGAAATTAATTATCAGTAATTTCAATTATAATTCAAACAATGCAAAAATTTAATTTCGATTGCATAATGGTTATGAAAAGAGATTAAACAATGAATTAAGATCAAAAAAGAAAGTGTGTATTAAAATCTTAAATGATGTGAAAGATAATCAATTGTGATAATGATAATATGAAAAAATTTTGAACAGGGAAGTAATTCTTTGAAATGCATTTTAATCATTGATGATAAGATGAATCTGGTTGAAATTGTCTTGCTAATTAGTACTAATAAGTCCTAAAATTCTTTCTCCTTCATTTCTATTTGCAGATGTTGATAAATTTGTGAGAATAATTCCAAAAAAATGCGCTATAAAAAGTAAGCAACTTACTATTAATAAAATTAACGAATGCTTATAAAATTCATTATTAATATAAATAAAAAGAAAGAAAAAAAAAATTTGTTTTAAAATTTGCAAAATTTAGATGAAACAACAAACGAACAAATAATGAAATCACCGTTACATTCTTTTCCAGCATACGCACTCCCAAAAACACTTGAAAATTATATGAAAGTTAGTTCAAATTTTCTATAATTAATAAATAAGTTTTGTCAATTGAACAAATTTTTATTTCAAATAAAACAATAATGAAATTTAAAAAAAAAAAAAAATTTACATGGTAAAGTTTAAATTTTACAGTTAAGATGTGCCTCACATTTTTATTTTATTTATTTATTTTTTGATCATATTTATAGATTTAAAAGATAATAAATTAACAAAAAAATTAAAGGGTATTGGATATAACGAAGCAATAATGGGTATAGAATATAATAAATCAAACGAAAAATTATCATTTATAAAACGATTGATATCAATGTTAATACCATTGATTATTCATTCAACACCATTACATTTGATGGAATATGACAACGATAATGTTAAAATCATTTGGGAATCAAAAAAACAAAGTTTATTTTTCTTTTTTTTTCAGATATCTGTTAAAATTTTTTATTGAAAGGCATTTTATTTTATTTATTTATATATTTGTTTGTTTTTTTTTATTTATTTCATTTTATTTATTTATTCATTTATATATTTATTATTATTTGCTAGCTTATTTTTAAGCAAAATTTTGCATCATTATTATTCTCTCTTCAGCACTTTTATCGTTTATTATTAATGTTATTTTAATTAATTAATTTATTTACTTATATGTTTGTCACATTATTTGTCATTATTACCATTACTATCATTATTATTTTTGCATCATTTTTTTCTCTCTTCAGCGCTTTTATCGTTATTTATTATTAAACTTATTTTAATTAACTGATTTATTTACTTATATGTTTGTTACATTATTATTATTATTATTATTGTTATTACCATTTCTGTTATTATCATTACTACTATTATTATTATTATCATTTCTATTATTATTATTATTATTATTATTACCACTTCTATTATTATCATTATCATTATTATTTACTGTTAGTAGTAAAACTTTTCAGGATTTGTTTTAATGCGTCAATACATCGAAATATTTAAACAACAAGTAATCAGCAATTATGCTGTAAAAAATTGCAGTAATTCTGATTAATTGATGAATTCACTTCATTTATTTAACTCAGTTCACAATAAACGAACTTTTTCATAGAATCATTTGGACCACCTGCTGGGATTTTATGTGAAAAATTTTTTTTAAATAAAACTAATAACAAATTAAAAAAATCTTTTATCGGTTACATTCTCAATGAATAAACAACAGCAACAACAGAAATTTGAGCATAAATTAATTGATAATTATTCCAGCCATACATTTTAAAATATGGATTAAATTGCAGAACTAAAAAATAACAAATAGTAAGCAACAATTAATTTATGAATTTCTTGCAAAATTGATATCAATTAACAAACAAATTAACAAAAAATAATTTGTCAAAATTGTTTTAAAGCTGATCATTTAAAAAAAAAAAAACAAAAATTTTCTTCATTTTTTGTACAATTTTTAACAGTAAATACCACGTGTACTTAGCGGTATTTACAAGTAAATTTACTGTGATATAATAAAACTTTACAGGCTTTTCACTTAACATTAATTAGCATTTCTGGCAAGAAAATTACATTTAATTAGTATTTAAAAATTTAGATACTATGAGGTCATAACTATTAAATTTATAATTTTAATTTCATATTTATTGACATCCACATTTTCCAAAGAAATGCTTCCACAATTTGTCACATTCTTCTGGTACGTGACATTTCTATAAAATATGGTAATTTTTTTTTATTTTTAATTCAACAAATTCATATAATGTAATCATTAATCATTTTAATCTTCAATATTAATCAGAGATTATCATAAATTATAATCTTCTTATAAATAGGATGATGAATATCATTGAGAATGAATTAATTAAATTTTCAAATCTTAATTTCAAATCTTTATTTAATTAAATTTTTAAATCTTAATTTCTTATTTAATTAAACTTTATCCTTATTTAACCTTTTAAAAAAATTAAACTTTTAAACTTTATCCTTAATCCTTATTTAATTAAACTTTCAAATCTTTATTTAATTAAATTTTTAAATCTTAATTAAATTATTAATTGATCAAATTTTACATAAAAATTATAACAATTTAAAATATTATATGCAAAGCTAACCTTAGAAACTTTTTCGACAATACTTTCATCCATTTGCACAGTTTCATTAATTTTTGAAATATGGCTAGCATTATAAATGGTATCACTCATAATATTTTCCACTTTACCAACTAATTCAGTGACATTAACTAATTTTTTCACAATATTCCCTGCAGTATATTATAATTTTTATATTATTTATCAATTTTGTATTAATTAATAGATTATATTAATTAACAAATAATTAATAGCAATTAATATAAATGAAATACATCTTAGATAACATGCTATAAACATTACTAAATTATCAAATGTTTGTAATTATTATGAAAAATAAAATTATTTATGGGTAAACATAAACATACCAACTGAATTTACTGCTTCCGCTAATCCCATATTGACTGATGTTTTCTTTTCGATAATATCCGGTTTTGGTAAGCATTCATTTGTGTTATCAAATGTTGAAAATAGCAAAATCTATGGCAAACGATGATAAACATTTTATCAATGATAAGTGAAAATGATAAAATCATACAACAATAATTTATTGATAAAATTAGGATGCAAAAATTTTGATGAAAAGAAAAAAAAAAGAAGTAATTTATAAAAATTTGTAAAAAATTTTTTTGCTCATAAATTTTTTTTTGCTTTTTTTTTTGCAATTTAAATATAAGTAATAAGTAAATAAATGATTAAACTATTATTATAATTTATAAATTTATTGTAAAATTCAATTTTTTATAAAATTAATTTTGTTTATACGATCGAAAAATTTTCATGTTCAATATTGTGCTTTACATTGAAATTAATAATTTTCAATGATTTAAAGAATTAATTAAATGTTTTAAAATTTAAATGAAAAAAAAAAAATTTGAAAGAAGGAAAGAAATACCATGATAATGAAAAAAGCCATGAAAATATCTGGAAGAAATGATAGTATAATCGAGAAACAATAAGATTTAGTTATGGCAGTAGGATCGAATGTTGACTTGACCTGTAGAAAGGATCATTTGTCATCCACTTGACCTTTGATATCTCACCTTAGCAGTCTCATCTGCTTATTGATTGCTATATTATTCATTGCATTTATTATCAAATTCTGATCAAATCATTTTGTTTTAATTGAAATCTAATAAAAATAAATTTAAAATTATAGAATTTTTTTTTCTGTGGTTGAAATCTTTTTTCAATTTGAAATTTTTATCATATTATTCATAAATTGATAAGTTCAACTATACTAATAAATGCAAAAAATAAAAAGAAAAAGCAAAAAATTATAAGAAATAATTTGTTGCACTTTTTTTTTTTCAAATTTTTTTAAAAGTAAAGTATTTTACTTTTTCTCTTTCAGCAGGAAAAAGAAAATATAATTTCCAATATATCCAATATAATAAAGAAAAATGAATTTCAACATTTTGTTGATAATTTTTTCAAAGAAATCTTTTATCAGTAATGATAATAGTTGTTATTTGCTAAAAGAATTTGAAAAATAATCATTTATAATTTTAATTTATAATAATTACTAATCATTGTTAGCTAGCAATTCAACTTCAATCTCATTATCATAATGCGCGTTACCATGGTAATGCATTAAAGGCGTTATTTCGACGTACATCACGTCAATAATGTATCACACGTCACGTATTTCGATTAATTGTAGTAGGAAAAATGTAAAAGAAAAGACGAATCATTATCGAAGGCCTATTTTTATGCAAAATTATCATTTATCAAATGATGATTGTAAAGTGAAGGAACATTTTTTGCTACGAGCAGAAAAATCAATTTATGAAGGTGAACCAATGTCAGATGATGATGTTGAAGCTGAATGTCGTTTATGGGCACGAACTTTACCTCATTTAAGGTATTTTTTAAAACCTTTTTTTTTTTTTTTGTAAAACTAATTTAAATGATATCATTTAATTTAATTTTTTTTTTAGACATCATTTAATTTAAAATGATATAGCATATGCTTAAAGAGTATGCGGTAAAAGTATCAGCAAATGTTGTAATGATGAAATGAAATTGATGAAAACAAATACAATCAACAATAATTGTTTAATAACAAATTTTCTATATGATCCAGTAAGTTTTTTTTTTTATCTTTATTAATTAATAGTTTTATTTATTTTCATTTATAATTAATATATATTTGAAAAAGAAAAAAAAATTGACAAAATTTAAATCAAAAAATTTTTTCTCTTTTCTAATATACAAAAATAAATTGATGGTTGAAATTTTAATTTTTGCCCTTTTTCTCAAAAAAAAAAAAAAAAAAGTTTTCATAAATGATATATCATCATTTTAAGAAAATTCGTAATTCTTTTGACATTTTTTAATTCGATCAGAAATTTCTCAAATTTATAAACAATGAATAGCAAATGGGCTTATAAAGACAAATTAGAAAGTACAATTCAATAGGAGTTCTAGTTAACAGGTTTAAAATTTTATCATCAACATTTGAAAAGAAAAATTTTTCAACTTTTTTGAATACCATTTACTGGACAATAGCGCTCATATCATATATAATTGCGCTTCATTGTTAATTTTTCAGTTTTTGGATGTATTTAATATGGAATTAAAACGAAAGAAATTACAATCAGATGCACTGGTCAACAAGATGCATGAAGAAAAGGTCAAAACAAGAAAGCACTTTACCCTACCGTCCATTTCTAGCGGTCATCAAAATCGTTTGTCACATCTCAGTTTAAAATAAATTTGTGTGCAAATTGCGCAAATTGTAAGCAGTAAGTAGCAGCAGCAAACCTCAATTTGTCAAATAAATGCCATAATTTTCATATGTTCTCGAGCTGTAAGTGATTAATAGGGACTTTATGATGTAATGATAAGAATGATAATAATGATACTAGCTGATAATGATAATAGTAATGGTGAAAACAATAATAATAATAAAATAATAATATATAAAATAACAGTGGGAACAGAATAATGACATTATAAAATAACAGTAAGAATAAAATAATAAAAATAATGTGAATAAATAATGATAAAATGATAGCGGTGATAATAACAATAATAATAAGTAATGAGTGATAATAACGATAATAACATAATAATATAATGTTGATGATAGTGATAATATTATTGATGCTGAATAATAATGATACAGCGATGATAGTAATGATGATATTATTATTGCTTCTGCTGTTGCTGACGATGATGATGACAATGATCATAATGATGATGCTGATGATGGTAATAATGATAATGATGATGATCGTTGAATTCAAGAAGGTATTGTAGAATGATAGGTGTGAAAAGAAGAATGTTGATGACAACAATATTAATTATACTATTTGATAATTTTGATAACGATTTTTTTCTGGTACTAAATTCATTGTACGATATAAAAATGTATGATTCAATTGATATGATAATTTTATAATGTCATAGAAGAAGATTTAATAAAAGATAAAATATTTTTCATTTTAATTTATAAAGATTTGTGAAATAAGTCTCCAATTTTTTGTTTTTGGCGAATGTAAAGGTAATTGTCAACAAATCAAGGAAGAATGATAGTATCAATGGTAGGATTAATTTTTGATGATTTTTAAATTGGCACTTTTTATCAACTCGTATTTATCACTGATAATATTGATAACATATTTTTCACTTAAGGTATGATCAATAAAGTAATCATATTTTTCATTGATTTTTCATGTGATCACCTGCGCATTCTCGAACAATCACCTGCGAAAATCATTAATTGGTTATCGAACAAATTTGGCAGGGAATTTGGTAATATCAAATAATTAAAATGATATGCTCATTTGTTACCTGTTTTAAAAAGTTTATATAGATTTATTTATGATTTTATTAGTTCAAAATTATTACTTTAACTTTTAATTACTTGAAGATATTAGATATCAATTGATAAATTCAATGATTGGCTTTTTGAGTGAATTTAATTAAACTTTCCATCTGCTATTAGAGACGATATATTTATTTTAGTGTAATTGCATTTGAATTTTTTTTTTAATTTATAAAATTTTTTTTTTTTTTTTTTTTTTTCTAGTTAAAAGGTCCAGATAAGCAGCTTAACCATTAGATATATAAATCATTAAATCGATCATTTAAGAAGCTTATCACTTACTTATCAGTTTTAATTAGATCAAATAGAATTTTATAAAACTTTTTAATTTCAAGATAGTTATTAAAAGAATTTTATAATCTGACTGCAGTGCAAATCAAAAATTTATTTTGACAGATTCGAGAGTGTCAATCGTTAGCTTCTTTTATGGATAGTTCAGTATAAATTCATTAACCTATAATTTTGTCAAATTAATAATATATATCAAATTTTAATTTAATATTTTAAAATTTACAGAATGTAAACATTGATGAAAAGGTCATTTTCAAGCTTCGAAATAAAATAAGACAAATTTGAAAATTGAACAAATTCTTTTTAAATTGTACAATGCTTTTCAAATTTGTTTCTAAATTTAGAAAAACTTTGAAATAAATGTTTTTTAAAATTGTTGTAAGAGTGCTGAATAATTTGCCTACATACTTTGTGAATTCTTTAATTTTAATAATTTTAGTGAATTTTAATGAATTCTATGAGCAAAAACTTTTAAATGGCCAATTTTTATCAGTCAAATGCAATTATTTTCATTTCCTAGTTGAATGAATAATTTCAAAATTTCCAAATTTCCAATAAAATTTTTTTATTCATTTTTTTTTTTTTCATTCGTTTACTTCCTTTATTATCATCATTAATTAATAAAACTTTAAAATTTCATTGAAAAAAAAAATGAAACTTAGGAGAATTTAATTCAAAACAAAAAAAAACAGTTTTAAAATTTGTTATTATCACAAAAATCAAAAAAAAAAAAATTTCAATTTGTACTTCTAAAAAAAAAAAAAAAAAAAAATAAAACAGAAAATTGTCAAATGTAATTAAAACTTTGAAACAAATAAGAACAAATATCTAATTATTGTTGATGACATTTTCTGTTTTTAGCTATAAAATGTTTATTTGAACAATGCTAAAAATCAATTTTGATTACTGATCGCTTATTGTATTCATAAATTTTTAAATCTTTTCAATTCATAGAAATTATAATTTTAAAATAAAAACTTGTATTTGTTATGTTTTTAAATGTATGATTGATTGCATATTTGGTTATTACAATTTTTAACTTTTCATTTTAGTTTAGTTTATCATAATTTACAAAAATTTTAAGTAATATTATGATGATTGATTGTTTCAAAATTAATACAGCAAAAAAACTAAAAGAAAAAAAAAATTACTTTTAATTTGATTTTAAAAATCAATTTTTAAACTTTTAGTTAAAAATTTTATCAAAAAACTTTCATTATTTCATTTTAGCTTTAGTTTAGTTTATCATAATTTGCAAAATTGTTAATTAATATCATTTCAAATGATAATGATTGATTGTTTCAAAATTAATACAATAAAAAAAATTAAAAGAAAAAATATTTTTAATTTTAATTTGAAAATCAATTTTTAGACTTTAAGTTAAAAATTTTATCAAAAAACCTTCATTTCTTTTAATATTAACGCAAATAATTTATGATTGCTATAAGTAATAATTGCAAATTTAAATTTGATAAAGCAGAATTTAAATATTTTTAAAAGTGTTTGAATAATTGCTAATATTAAATAATGCTGTAATAATTTTTAAACGATTGTTTACACATTTAATCTCTTACTTATTCTCTTATTTATTACTTATTGCATAGCAAAAAGTACATAGTGCAATTAAATGTTGTTTAAAAATGTGTTTATCTATTATTTGAAATTTAATTTTGATTTGCATTTTGCTTACAATCTTCTCTCAACTTTACATATTTAATTTTTAATCGTTGCTTTTTAAACTAATTCAAATTGATCAGTTTATCATTTATATTAGCAACATATGTTCCATATTTTATTAATCTTTATTTATTCGTAATTGTAATCGAATAAATTAAAATTTAAAATATTTTAAAAATATATTTTATCATGAGATTAGCAATTTTTATTAATGATAACTAACTATTTTTGCATGCAATAAAATTTAATTTTATTAATTGCTATCGTTATCAATCAACATTCATCTATTATGTCAACTTATCAGCATTGTCAATCATATGTTATCAGTTTATAAAACTTATCATTTATCACATATGATTATTTGTTGTTATCATCATATCAATATCATATATATCATTTTGATCATCTATCATATGACATTGTTATCATCATGCTTTTATCATAATTTCCTTTTTTTCAATCATATGTTATCAGTTTATAAAACTTATCATTTATCACATATAATTATTTGTTGTTATCATCATATCAATATCATACACATCATTTTGATCATCGATTATATGACATTGTTATCATCATGCCTTTATCATAATTTCCTTTTTTTTCAATCATATGTTATCAGTTAATAAAACTTATCATTTGTCACATATGATTATTTGTTGTTATCATCATATCAATATCATATATATCATTTTGATCATCTATTATATGACATTGTTATCATCATGCTTTTATCATAATTTCCTTTTTTTCAATCATATGTTATCAGTTTATAAAACTTATCATTTATCACATATGATTATTTGTTGTTATCATCATATCAATATCATATATATCATTTTGATCATCTATTATATGACATTGTTATCATCATGCTTTTATCATAATTTCCTTTTTTTCAATCATATGTTATCAGTTTATAAAACTTATCATTTATCACATATGATTATTTGTTGTTATCATCATATCAATATCATATATATCATTTTGATCATCTATTATATGACATTGTTATCATCATGCTTTTATCATAATTTCCTTTTTTTCAATCATATGTTATCAGTTTATAAAACTTCTCATTTATCACATATGATTATTTGTTGTTATCATCATATCAATATCATATATATCATTTTGATCATCTATTATATGACATTGTTATCATCATGCTTTTATCATAATTTCCTTTTTTTCAATCATATGTTATCAGTTAATAAAACTTATCATTTGTCACATATGATTATTTGTTGTTATCATCATATCAATATCATATATATCATTTTGATCATCTATTATATGACATTGTTATCATCATGCTTTTATCATAATTTCCTTTTTTTCAATCATATGTTATCAGTTTATAAAACTTATCATTTATCACATATAATTATTTGTTGTTATCATCATATCAATATCATATATATCATTTTGATCATCTATTATATGACATTGTTATCATCATGCTTTTATCATAATTTCCTTTTTTTCAATCATATGTTATCAGTTTATAAAACTTATCATTTATCACATATGATTATTTGTTGTTATCATCATATCAATATCATATATATCATTTTGATCATCTATTATATGACATTGTTATCATCATGCTTTTATCATAATTTCCTTTTTTTCAATCATATGTTATCAGTTAATAAAACTTATCATTTGTCACATATGATTATTTGTTGTTATCATCATATCAATATCATATATATCATTTTGATCATCTATTATATGACATTGTTATCATCATGCTTTTATCATAATTTCCTTTTTTTCAATCATATGTTATCAGTTTATAAAACTTATCATTTATCACATATGATTATTTGTTGTTATCATCATATCAATATCATATATATCATTTTGATCATCTATTATATGACATTGTTATCATCATGCTTTTATCATAA